GAATCTCAGAAGCCAGAACAGCAAGAGGGATCGCTGCGCAGTGAAAGCAGCAATCCTTCTCCCTGTTCTGGCTTCTGTGATAGCTGCACAGCCTGCATTCACTCCATAAGATGCACACACATTTCCCCTTACTTTTTAGGAGGGAAAAAGTGAGTCTTATAGAGCAAAAAATACGTTAATTAAGTGCAGCAGTTCCAGGATCAATACTGTAGATTGACTCAGCAACCCACCCACTTTGGAAGATGAGGAAACACCACACTTTAATCTTCTTGATTGTTAATCAAGATGCTAATTATCATTATGTGAGCATGTGGACTCCACGCAACCCAACTGTTAGGGCTAGAAGAGTTGTTTAATTTATGAAAACAGAAAATAGAGTTTCTGGAATCGAGAAGGTACTGGTATAAGTGAAAATTGTACAAGGCCCTTCGTATAAACCCTCAACAACATGCAAACTAATTGTGGGTCAAGAAAGGCACTGGAAAAACTGGTATGGGAAGGAATGTACATAAATTCCTGCTCTGTTTTTGCAGGACTCTGCTGATTTCAAACAACATCTGATCTTCAGGATCTTCACTACAACAATAAGCCCTCATAGTACCATCAGCTCTGTAGCATGAAGGAATCACAGCTGATGCAATGCTACATTTTGTCAAGTTACAAATAAAGTAGGACTGTGTACTAGATTGGGTAAGGGAAGCTGGATTGGGTAAGGATGCAGGTTGCGCTGTGGTCTTAACCACTAAGCCTCTTGGGCTTGCCCATCGGAAGGTCGAGAGTTCGAATCCACTCGACGGGGTGAGCTCCCGTTGCTTGGTCCCAGCTCCTACCAACCTAGCAGTTTGAAGGCATACCAGTGCAAGTAGATAAATAGGTACCACTGTGGTGGGAAGGTAAACAGCATTTCTGTGCACTTGCCATGGTCCTCCATGTGCCAGTAGTGGTTTAGTCATGCTGGCCACATGACCTGGGAAGCTGACTGTGAACAAGCGCCGGCTTCCTTGGCCTGAAAAGTGAGATGAGAGCTGCACTCCATAGTCACCTTTGAATGGACTTAACCATCCAGAGTCCTTTTACCTTTTACCTTTTACTCAACTGGGACAAAGCTGGAATCCAAACTCAGTTGGGGGACGCAGGCTTGACCCAAGTTGGGAAGGTGCTGGTGAAGGAGCAGGATCAAATCCTCCTCACACCAGCCGGCGATTGGACGATTTGATCCTGCAGGCTGCAGCTCCTTGGCTAGGGCCTTCTCCATTCACCAGTCTTCCTTCTGTGAGAAAGAGAGAAAAAAGCATAAAGAAGCTTCTTCCCATCTGCACCCCAGGTAGCAGCTCTCTTTTGCACTAGGGCGAAGGGGGAGTCATGGCAGCACTTTCCTCACTACAGAAGCTCTTTTTGCTTAGGTTGTTTCTCACCTCAGAGTCACTGCTGTCTTCCTAACAGAGCCAGGAGTAGGAGTGGTCTGATCGTGCAGGGTGCTGCTCCTTCACATGGAAGGTGCTTGTGAAGCACCCTACAGGATTAAACCCTCCTGCTCTTAGTCGGGGGGGGGGGGACAAAGGATACACAGGGTCTCCTCCTTCCCCTGCTACATCCTGACCGCATGTTTAATTAGGGTTTTTAAAAACCCAACTTAAACAATTAGCCTTGCTCCCAAATTGATTCAGGCCTGTTCCATGTGTCAGCTGGCGGACAGCGACTCCCAGGAATGAGCATGTTTTGCACTCCAAGGAATGACCATGCTTTTCCCTTCCCTTTGCAATGCATGCAAATGCACAAAGAAACTCTGTATGTGACTCAGGGTGACTCAGTTTAACAGATTAATTCAGGATCATTACACACATGCCGTTTTTGTGGATCTAGGAAAACAAGTAACCCAAAGGTCAGATGCTGCAATTTTCCTTTAAAATCCTGACTCAGGTGGAATACTTATTGGAATACTTTCTTGCAGTTGTTTATGAGCTGCTTTCCCACAGTTGTAATTTAAATCCTATGCAATGGAATGAAAGTTACACAATATTATTATTATTATTCAAGCCATCACAAGATGCAGGGCTGATCCTTGGGTTGATCTCTCTCTCACGCACTTGCAAGCACACTGATTTCATATATACCTCTTCAAATGCTCTTGAGCCTTTCCCCTCAGTCAGTGTGCAGGTGTGAAAGACATAATGATCCTGTTCAGTTTTTTTAATTCAGTTTCTTTTTTAACTGAATAATAGCCATAAAGAATCTTGGTTCCATAACCCAGCTGCAGCCCTTCTGCATATTTTGTGTCACCCATGAACGATGCATTCTATCTGAAGCACATTTTTATGTGCATCAGTTTTTCATATGGCTTTTTCATGTCTTAACATTGTCTTCCTTTACAGAAATATATTTAATTACCACTGCTAACAGACAAATCTACTTTACCCAATTTCTCCTTCTCTCCCCTGAGCATAGCTGCCAGGGCTGGTTCCTTCACCACCACCAACTTCCCCCTTTTATGGTCTCCTGTGCAATTGACAAGGTTGGAGAAAATGTCTGTTGATTTCACTGACAATATTTTATTATGTTTTTAGATATGTTGGAAGCCACCCAGGCAGCCTAGATAGATGGGTGGGATATAAATAATAAAATTATTATTATTATTATTATTATTATTATTATTATTATTGAATAGGACACCCCTGTTTTCATCAGAGAAATATTGGAGGGTATGGGTTCTGACAAGCAGAATTGAAAGCAAAAAATATTTTCCCCAAATCAAAATATATCTCAATGCAGCACTCTTTACTGTCCTCAAAACACTCACACCCTTCCATCTGAAGTTAGAGAGACTCCTGGAGATATTTGAGACAATTTCTCCTGGCTAATCAGCTTTCTGTATCACTCAAACGACCCCAGTCCAAAAGTATACTGCTATGGCTAAGAGGTGCATCCTATCTATCTCCAGACATTAAATTCCCCCCCCCCCAAAAGCTTGGAAATCAACACCTGTTTAGGACTGCAGTCTATCAGTGCTATGGTCCTATATACTCTCACCTGTGTTTAATTTCAGTTGAACTTAGTGGGACTTTCTTTTGAGTAGACATTAGTATGGGGCTGCACTGTAAAACTACCATCCTTAACACACTTATAGTGCAGCCCATATCATGTCTATTCAGCGTTGTTGAATTCAAAGCGGTTTACTTCCAGATAAGTGGATTTCAGCCTTACTAAGGAATATATCTCATGGAAAACAGTGGGAGTTGCTTCCTTTAAATGAACAGATATGGGATTATGCTGCAAGGCTGAAATCCTATGTACAATTACCTGGAAGTAAGTCCCATTGACGTTACTCAGCCAGACATCTCAAGCCACAGTGTGAGACAGCCAGTGTGGTGTAGTGGTTAAGATCGGTAGACTTGTAATCTGGGGAACCGGGTTCGCGTCTCCACTCCTCCACATGCAGCTGCTGGATGACCTTGGGCTATTCACACTTCTTTGAAGTCTCTCAGCCCCACTCACCTCACAGAATGTTTGTTGTGGGGGAGGAAGGGAAAGGAGAATGTTAGCTGCTTTGAGACTCCTTAGGGTAGTGATAAAGCAGGATATCAAATTCAAACTCTTCTTCTTTTTCTTCTTCTTCACAGATGGAGATGCTTAAATATTTCAGTTCAATTGATTTGCAGATTGCACCCTTTAAGTATTTCCCTAGGGTTAAATAACCGCCTACTTATTTCATGCAAGTCATTGCATGGGTGTCTAAATGAAGAACAACTGTTTTGACTATTGGACACACTTGTATGAATCACCACTTTCTCAGTGTTATTACTTCAATGAGTTGCGGGTACAGGTTGAAAGCATACAGTTCAGGGTTGTAAGGCAAGAAATATGGGCTTATCTTTATAGCCTTCTGATAGTAAGTTCTTGTGGCACATAGACTCCTTGCTTATTGAAACCCGTGGTGTGACTGGCAAGCAGATCTTTTGCTTGGAAGATATCTTCTAGAGCACAGAGATGAGTTGTTACCTGCCTTGGAAGTTATGGCATGAAGGAACCAAACCATGTTGGCTACTTTTAACAAGTTGGATGTTGGAAAAGTAGCTTGCAAGAGTCAGGACATGGGCTTATATTACATTTCCAGTGAAACACATTCATAGAAATGAAGCAAACACATCAAAGGATTGGGAGACCTAACATAAAAATCCTCCAGTGTCACTGGCTTATTGTATGGTGTTGGACTCATTATTCTAGTACCCTTTCAATCCAAACTACCTAATAGGCTTGAGGTTGCCCACCAGTGATCCAGATGTCAGACAACAGGAGGTAGGGGATGATCGTTGAGCTGGCACCAACCCTCAAGGAAGGACCAGAAATACTGTGAAATGGTTTATCCTCTGCCCATTCCCATCATGAGAAAGATATCCTTGATTATCAAGTATTAAACACAGCTGAAAGGTCTACCAAACCAAGAAGGAAGTACTCTCCATGTTCAGATCTCTTGGTGTGGATTGTCCAACAAGGTGACCAAAGTTTATGTTAGTCCCCAAACCAAATCTGAATCCAGATTGAAATGGAGCTATATGCTCAGTTTTCACCTGAGATTAAAATCTGTGACATGTAAGAAGCCAAGGGAAGCTCAATATTCCAACTGGGTGAAGGAGCTCTTTGTGAATCCTAGAATGTGATTCATAACCATGGAATGTGTACATAATTTTCTGTAACTGATATCCAACATACAGTGAAGTTTCACCCTTACTCTATTTAATAAACTCTCTTAATTGAAGCAGGTCAAAGGCTAGATGAGATGGTAAACTGAAAATTTTCCTTCAGGGCTTCTTCAAGTCAAGTATTATGAATGGGGTGATTATTATGGGAGAAACAACAAAGAAGGTTGCAACAGGAGGCTTATGCAATAGCAACTGTGAGCTTGTCATCTCCCTGACTATTGGCTATAGCAACTATTCTTGGAAGAATAAAAGGAGAAGGTGACACAAGACATCTCAAGCCACAGCTCTAGAGACGCTACCATCATGGTATTCACAACAGAGAAAACGGCAAGTCTCACTTTCCAGATCATGCAACTATGTGCTGGCTTCTGTCTGGTTTATGTGGTGATTAAATCCACCCAGTTATATTTCAAGAGACAAAAATTGCTCAAAACTTTGGAGAGTTTCCCAGGTCCTCCCAGCCATTGGCTCTATGGTAATATCCATCAGGTAAGCAAAAAGATACAGTATATGTGTGTGGATAATTGAACTTGGAAAAGATGCTAGATTTGGGTGAAATTTGGGTATAATGGGGACACAGTTTGACTTGTGTTTTAAAGACTTTTAAATTGGTCTCTTTTTAATGTATTTTTATTAAAGATTTCTTGGTTTGCAAAGTATGTGCAATGTCTCTTTTTTCAAGTTACATTTTCCGCAGGTCAGTTTCATCTGTTGAGACATTAGTGTTACATTAGGAAGAAAAGGGGGGAAGAGGTGGAGGGGGCCATGGTGGGTGGGGGTGGGGTCAGGTGGCAATGTTTCTATTTTAAATTGGTCCCTTACATTACTGGAATTGTTGTTTATGAGTGGTTGTGGCTTCCCTGAATCTATCAAACGGACAGGCTTCTTCAAACACTAGCAAGCATTTATGAAAAACAACACCTGTATACGGAGAGACTGTGCATGGAAACTGGCAGACCTCTTTGAGATGTGCTTGGTATCCCATTCATTTCCTACTGAAGAGAATTAGGTAGATGAAAGTTCTCAAATCATTTCCCCAGCTTAGGTCACGTGTCGCACTTGAAAGAGACGGGAGTGCAACTAAAAATGGAAATCCTATCACTGCAGATCACCAGTCATGCAGAGGACCAGAACATGATGGAGAAGTGGGCTGAAAAATTCCCTTACGCTTTCCCCAGATGGTTTGGGGGCTTTGTTCCTGCTGTAGTTATCACTCACCCTGATTACGCCAAAACTTTATTTAGCAGAAACGGTAAGTGTGTTTCATTGAGGATAATTCATTTTTTATATGTAGGGTGGCCATTTGTGCATCAACAAAAATGAGGACATGCATAAAACTTGCATGTGCAACTTTAGAAATAATTACGATAATTTAAATAGAAACACATTTTGCCATAGTGGGGGAAAATTGTGACCAGGAGAATTATGTGTCTGCTCAGTCTGCTATCCGGGTGCTAACTAATTGCTAACTTCCTGCTCTCTCTTCTTAAGATTCTTTGTCCTTAAACCACATTTGGACCAGAGAGCTGTTTAAACAGAGCTTGCTTTCAAATAGAGGACTATCCTCTGTAACAACATGGCCATTTTATTAATAAGTTTTAATGTTTGTTGTTTTTTATTATTATGTTTTTAGTATTTTGTTGGAAGCTGTCCAGAGTGGCTGGGGTAATCCAGTCAGCTGGGTGGGGTAGAAATAATAAAATTATAATGTTGTTGATGATGATGCACCTATAGATATAGAATGTTCTAGAGAACATGCTCCAGACTCTGCTTCATTTTATGAACATGTGCCTATAATACTAATACTAATAATTAATTGATACAGTAAACACCCCATTTATGCACATTTAATATGTGTGCAACTGTGCACATGCACACTGCGCCGAACCCAGAAGTAACCTGAGAATATCACAAAACGGTCACAAAAGGGGTGGTGTGGAACGGGGTGTTTGCTGTTTCAAAGGTACCCAGTTTCACTTAATTGCACAATGCCTTGGAATGTAACCTCCGTGTAAATGGGGTGCTTGTGCGTGTTTTGCCTGTACCCCACCTTTCCCCCTGATCAGTAAGTTCAAGGGGACTTACTGATAAAAACAAAAACCGATATGAATCTTAATCACAGATAAAAGATTTCTAAAACCTTTATGTGGTTAGATTAATGGATGTGGAATTGCCATGATAAGGAAATGTCTCACAAGGCATGTATCACAGAGGAGGAATACCACAGGCCTTAGACATGGCTTGCCATAGCACATAAAAAGGTAAAGGGACCCCTGACCGTTAGGTCCAGTCGTGACCGACGCTGGGGTTGCGGTGCTCATCTCACTTTATTGGCCAAGGGAGCCAGGGTCATGTGGCCAGCATGACTAAGCCGCTTCTGGCGAACCAGAGCAGCGCACGGAAACGCCATTTACCTTCCCACCGGAGTGGTACCTATTTATCTACTTGCACTTTGACATGCTTTCAAACTGCTAGGTTGGCAGGAGCTGGGACCGAGCAACGGGAGCTCACCCCGTCGCGGGGATTCAAACTGCCGACCTTCTGATCGGCAAGCCCTAGGCTCTGTGGTTTAACCCACAGCGCCACCCGCATCCTGCCATAGCACATACATACATCTAAATAATACTGATTGCCATGCGAAACGTGTAAATTTTTGTGGCTCAAGTTTACTGTGTCTCTCATCTTTTCATTAAAAAAACACACAATTTAACAGATTTCCAACATGAGTGCTGAAAATGTTAACTCTTGCTGTAAATTTAAATTTGTGACACTGATTGGTATGTTTGACTTTTCTAATTTTCTAGATCCTAAAGCTAAAGATATCTATGAGCCCTTGCTTCCTTGGATTGGTATGTGTACGAGTTACTTGTCTACGCATCGTTGTCATTTACAGAATACAAGGGCGTTGCAATCTTAACTGTCACCCAAGCCTTAACTTGATTCAATTTTGGAGAGTTTTAATTCTCCTTTCAGGAGGAATGGCTGGGGAAGTGACGCATTCCCCTCTCGACAGCCGTGTCACCACCACTTAGGGGTATGGTACCATGGTATGGGGCATGGCGATGGCATTGTTTGGGTTCCATGGGTGTTCCTGCTGGTCTGGATATGTAGTATGAACTTCACTACCCCGTGCCTTGTCCCCATCCCAATACTGTCCCACATGACAAAGATTTTAGTCATATGGTACTGATTTTATGGGCAGTTGCACCTAGGTTTGTAATGTGCTACTTGTCTAAGGGATGAATTTAAGGATTATCCCATATAGCCCAATGGTTGCCATCAATTTGATCTGAATTAATTTTATAATGAAATGATTTTAGAATGTTGTATTATTTTATTGTTGTTAGCCGCCCTGAGCCCGGCTTCGGCTGGGGAGGACGGGATATAAATAAAATTATTATTATTATTATTATTATTATTATTATTATTATTATTATATCATGGCACCACAGCCTAACATTAGCTAATACCAATCCATTCATCTCTTTTTCTGCATAATAATAATAATAATAATAATACATTTATTGTCATTGTACAACCTGTGTACAATGAAATTTAATGATCCTACCCCCCAAACACTCAATCTCTTATTCAACAACACACCACCATGCAAGTCAATTTCGCTATGTTCTTTTTCATTCAACAGCCTAACAGCCCACAGATAGAAGCTATTTTTTAGCTTGTTGGTACGGCTGATTATACTTCTATATGTCCTGCCAGAGGGTAGAAGATTAAAGAGGTGATAGCCGGGGTGTGAGTCATCCCTGAGAATTTTTCTCACTCTCCTAAGGCAACGATCCCTTGCGATGTCATCTAGCGGACTCAAGGGACAGCCCATGATGCATTTTGCATAGAACATAATGGATTTATGATATTTGGTATCTCTTCTCTCTGCAATTTTTTGTTTCATAGCTCTTATTGGTATTTTGACGACAAACCTAAGTTTCTTTCTTCTGGCATTTCCTACATCTCTTGTTATTGCTGTTACATAGTTCTTGGAGTCATTGGCTTTTTCCCACTGATGAATTCTATAGCAATTAAACAGTATTCCACAGATCAGTGGGAGGTTCTTGCTACTTAGTACTATGCACTGCATAAAGGTGCAAAGGAAAATGACATTTTCTTTATGTTAACGAAGTTCTCTAGAATCAATCTGTGAATATGCTACAGCCCACAAATTGCTTTCTTAGGCTGCGATCTCATGCACATTTCCCATGAGTAAGACCCACTGAACACTTTGAATTATGGTGCTGGAGGAGAGTCCCATTGACTGCAAGAAGATCAAACCTATCCATTCTTAAGGAAATCAGCTCTGAGTGCTCACTGGAAGGACAAATCCTAAAGCTGAGGCTCCAACACTTTGGCCACCTCATGAGAAGAGAAGACTCCCTGGAAAAGACCCTGATGTTGGGAAAGATTGAGGGCACAAGGAGAAGGGGACGACAGAGGATGAGATGGTTGGACAGTGTTCTCGAAGCTACTGACATGAGTTTGACCAAACTGTGGGAGGCAGTGGAAGACAGGAGTGCCTGGCGTGCTCTGGTCCATGGGGTCACGAAGAGTTGGACACAACTAAACGACTAAACAACAACAACAACAAACATACTGAGCTTTGCACTGTGCAAATATCTTTGCAAGAGGATTTGAAAAATCAAAGGGGACAAATCATGGCAAGAGTGGGTGTAATAACATGAATCCTTTGCTATGTACACTCTAACTAGTCTATTGCTATTTGTACCCATAGGGAGAGGACTGCTTGTCTTAAATGGACCCAAGTGGCACCAGCACAGGCGATTGCTAACACCAGCTTTCCACTATGACATTTTGAAACCCTATGTGGCACAAATTGCAGATTCAGTCAAAGTTATGCTGGTAATTAACCTATTATCCCATTGCAAAAGAAATGATATTATAAATACTCAATTCTGTATCAGTTATTACTGGGAAGAATTACCCCAGTCCAGTTTGTGTGTGTATTCAGCCAAATGGTAGCATGTTATTCAAAATACTGAGCTCTGTCAATGAAATAATGGAGACTATGCCTTATCACTTCCATGAGTTCTGTGCCCAGGCACCTTAGACATGACCCGCATTCCTCCACATGGTTGCCAGCAGAGAAGTCTGTCTTTGCTTTGAATTTCCAAAGACTCATCTGTACCATGTGTATTGCATGATTCCCCCCTACATTTCATATACAGTGCAGTAGCAATTTGTGCACAAGTAGCCCCATGGTCATCCTGAAACATAGTTGCACAAAAGAACCTAGAAATCTGTTGCACACATATATAATGAGAACTCAGCATATTGCATTTTTAAAGCATTAGGAGTTGTATCCCATGAGATTACCTTACAGTGCTCCTGACATGATATATATTATCATAGCAACCACCAGTCACACTCATCTGTGGCACAAATCCAGTGGCATTGCTGTACACTAGCTCACAGGCGCATGGCTTGGTGCATGTTGCACAAGGGCACTTCACATTGCTACACAGGCGCAATGAAACTGAAGAAGGGATTTGGGAAATATCAGATATGATGCTTTCAAAGCACTTCCACCTTTAAGGAAAAGATACAGAGCTTTCAGGCGGTGGGTGGTACTCAATGGAGTGCAAAAGCAAATATTCTGCCTACACAAGGATTTCTCCTAGGGCAATGGAACATTCTCATCCTCTCCACCCCTGCCTTAAATTCCCCCAACCATTTGTAGCAGACTTGGGGATGATTCAGGAAATGTACAGGGGGAGGAGAGTAGTCGTTGTTCTAGCATGATTATTTACTTGAATACTGCCCAAAGCAAGCAACTTAAGCTTCCTCACCTGTTTCTCACATCAGGATAAATGGGAGAAGCTGATTGCAGAGGACCCCACAAAGTCTTTGGAGATGTTTGACCATGTCAGTTTAATGACTCTTGACAGCATCATGAAATGTGCATTCAGTTACAAGAGTGGCTGTCAGACGGACAAGTTAGTACTGTCAAATTAATACTATTGAAGGTTCTTGGTGGCATGGCCCATATCTGTTTGTCTGAAATATTCCATTTTTCTTTTCCTCCAGAGAGCAGGATTATTATGTCAATGCTGTGCAAGATATGACTCTCCTAGTGTTTCAGAGAGTCACCTCAGCATTTCTGCGGAATCAGCTCATCTATTCATGCACCCCATCAGGACAGCACTTTAAGGAAGCCTGCAGCTTGGCACATCATCATACAGGTATCTTACAGACATTGGCAGATTCTTCTCTTCTTCCTATGCAAGCTTTACCGAAATGGACTACTATAAGCAAGTCCTTTGGTTCAACAGGATATCTAACTGATAATGAGTGGCATAGGAGCCAACTCCTAGGAGCTTCCAGTGAAAACTCTGAGGGGGCTCCCCCACCAAATACATAGGCATCGCCATTCAAGTGGTGTGCGTGAGCCACATCATGTGACTGATTATGTGCAGCGGGGCTTACCTGCTGGCGCCCGTGGTGAGTGGTGCCGAGGGTGGTCCCAACTGTGCAAGAGCTAATAGCTCTGTCCTTTATCCATTGCTTGATGCTGAAAATCGGTAGTGTTGGGATTTAAGCAAACCTGCCTGAGAGCATCTAAGCTGAAAGTTCTGGAATCTCTTTCTCAAATACTCTTTCGTACAGGGTCACTAAGTGCAGGAAAAGGGTCTCTGCTGGTGTTCAAGAGCACCTCTTCATTGTTGCTTTATAAGTTCTCCAAAATTATGCAGAAAGACAACTCAACCTTTGTAACCAGTATAAATTATGCAATTTAAGGACATTGCCATATTTTAGCATAATTTACACTGCAATCCAGTACATGTCTACTCAGAAATAAAACCCATGGCATTCAATGGGATGCTATCAGGTAAATGAATATAAGACTGCAATCTTATTTTCCTTCTGGTACTCATGGGAACAAGCCTTGCTACTCCTTGAGCATCTAGCATCCTCTGTCCAGCCCTAATAAGGCTTCAGTGTCCAGGGAGATTATCTGCAATCAGATGGCACCTGCTAAATTACAGTTGGACCTAATGCAACATTTTAGGGTGCAATTCATACCCTCATGCTGGGAGAGCTGGATGGGACAGAGGTCTCCCTCCACCCTTGACGGGGTGTAAGCATCACTCCACTGGTATCCACAGGATCCCATGCCAGTCCCACTTGATAGCCTCAGGCCCAGTCACTGGGTCAACTGCAGTCAGGTGTAACCCAAATCAGGCTTCTGCCTTGTGCTTGAAGGATGGCTGTGGATACCATGGTGGCTCATGACTCTCTCATGCCCCTCCATTGCCTGATTGCACTGCCAGTTGTATAGTAGCTGCATTTTAAAGTAACCTTCATTTTGGATATTTTAAAATATTTGCCACCTGCCCTGAACTCAAGGGGTAATATGGGGTTAAAGAAATAACGAGAAAGAAATGTGATATGCTGATGTAATTTTATTTTGTAATGGTAGAAAAAGTAATTGCAGAGAGGAAGGAATCACTTAAGAATGAAAGGGAACTTGAGAAGATCCAGAAGAAGCGACGCTTGGATTTTTTGGACATTCTTCTTTGTGCCAAAGTAAGTATTTATATGAAGCACTTTAGCATCCTCTACCTTACACATCTTTTACAACTGGCTCACAAAGCAAACAGCTGGCCAGATATTTGATTAAATATAGTTCACCTTGATCTTCTCTTTAAGAATTGCACAGAAAGGACATTTTTACCAGGTCCATTACTGTAGTACTAATGATGGGAAAAGGTGACAACTCTGCCTCTACTTTTCAGGGGACTACAGAAGTGTCAGCTTCCCCTTTGTCATCCTTTTGTATCATTTTATGGGCCTTTTGAGTCCACAAGAGTTACAGATTGGGGGGAAATGGACAGTGAGGTTCAACTGCAAAATTGTTAATCATGGCAAAACCAGATGGCCGTGGTCACTTCCTGCTCAAGACACGGAGGAATAATCCACTATGTGGGCCACTGAAGCAGAAGCCAATCTGTAGAACAAATCTAAAAATTCCATTACTGTGACACTTTTTGGTCTGGCGTTTTCATTTACATTTCCTCTTCATGTCTATTGATATAAAACACAACCACACTATTTTTCTTTGAACTCTCGAGTTAGCTGCTGATTACCTATCCCCTATTTTGTCAGGATGAAAACGGAGCTGGGTTGTCTGATGAAGACCTGCGCGCTGAAGTGGACACTTTCATGTTTGCAGGCCACGATACTACAGCCAGTGGAATCTCCTGGATCCTACATTCTATGGCTCAGCACCCAGAGCACCAGCAGAAATGTAGAGAAGAAATCAAAGACATTCTTGGGGATCGGGAGGACATCCATTGGTGAGATCAGTATTGTTTGCCTTTGATCCCCCACCCCCGAGTGACTTAAACTGAGGGCCAAACTTGAAAACCTTGAGAAGAACATTATGGAAAGTCTTCCTACTCTTTTTAAAAACAACAACAGCAGCAACAACAACAACTGAAAAGCAGCTGGGGGAGGCTGCCAGTTTCAGAAAAGGAAAGTTGGGTGGGAGGCACTTCTTAATCCATGGGTGGGGAATTTCCCACCCATGGGCTTTCCATTTTGGCCTTTGAAGCCATTCTGCCTAGGCCAGATCAACCTGTTACTCACCTGACATCATCCCCCAAATCCCCAAGAACTCAACTAAGATATGTGATATGAACTCTCTCCAGTGACCACTTGAGTTAGTGGTTTTTATTCCCATTATACAAGGTGGTAGACATAGCTGCCAACTCCTTGGGGCCCTGGGTGCCTGAGCAACCATAATATTCCCCATGAAGGTGCCAGGCACCCACAAATTTTGGTGCTAGGGCCATGCACACTGCATGGCACCCATGGCCCTTGGCACCTATGGTCACGGGGCCAAGCTGCCACTCCTGGTGGTGGAAGGGGGGGAAAAACCCCATGCCTGGACATTTGATAAGGTTAACAGAATGCTTTCCAGATATTGCACTGCTATCAACACCCAGTGTTTTGCCAGCAGAAAGATGAATGGCTTTATTTGCAACTTTCAGGGATGATCTTGGTAAGATGACCTATACCACAATGTGCATAAAGGAGAGTCTCCGACTAAATTCTCCAGTTCCGGTAGTGTCCCGACAGCTGAGCAAACCCATTACTTTTTTTGATGGACGCACATTACCTGAAGGTTTGCATATTTTCTTTAAGAGCGAAGTTCTGTTTTTCATTCCCTTCTACTCACTGTAGAACTCCTAACCCTGAAATTAGATTGCAGCTCAGAACTTCAGTATAAATCCAGGGTGACTAGACTGCGAGACTTCAGATGTTGCTGGACTGCCACCTTCCATAAGCTGCATCCATTATGGCCAGCCATCATAGGGGTTGCAAACTAACCAGAACTGGAGGTCCGCAGATTAGCTACTACTATCATAGTAATACTGACTGAACTTCAGCAATTCCAGCTGATTTCAGATATCCCCAAGAAGCACCAAAAGAGGAAGTGCAAATAAATATAGATAATTTCTTCAATCACCACTTGGTTGGTAACATAGCAATGGACAACTTGTCTAAGGCCCTGTCATGGACTGGGCAGAGGAGGAATGGTGGAGACTGCTTCCCCATCCTGACCCTTCCAGGGAGGAGGAAGAGGACAACAGTATAGATTTACAACAAGGGTTTGAGGAAGGTCGCACCTAAGAGGCAGATGAGGGTAAAAGTTGGGAAATCATGGGAAGAGCCAGAGCAACACCTGGCTGACACATTGTCATTAGAAAGCGTTCCAGACCCACCATCTTCCAGAACCTGGCGAGCCTTAAAAGTAGGAGAGCAAAGAGCTCATAGAGGAGATGATGAGAATGACAAATGAGGAAATGGGAGAGACTGGTGGGCTGGGTGGGTGAAGAGTCACTCGGGACACCACCATTATCCAAGAGGCTGGGTTCTATAGTTTCTCTCTGTAAAGACTGAAATAAAAAATGGTCTGTAAGAAACTTTCCCTTGTCTTTATACTTTCCTGGGCAACCAGCCGGGAGCCACTGACAGTATCCTGACAGTCCCTTGCAGGGGGATATGTGCATGTACCAACACAAGGACAGAAGAAAGGTGCCAGAGGCAGAGGGTTTCCTTCCCCTGGAAGGGGCTGGAGTGCCTGCAGCTGCACCAGCATCCTCCTTGTGAGGAACCATATATGTGAAGCACAATAAAATGAGGTTTACCCGTATTTGTTAGTTTGCACTTTGATTGCAGATTTGCTAATTAACTGCTGATCCGTGCAGTTTGCATGGGAAATCCATTGCTGAAACCACTGTATGCACATATCAACAACAAAAACATATCATATCAACAACAGAAACATAAGCAAGAATCTGAAGAGCTATTTTAATCAAGCCCCTCGATGGTACAAGGTCCAAAACTCCTTGGGTGCATTACATTAGTTGTTGGTCTGTGATCTTTTGGTGAGTTTCAGCACACTCACAATTCTAAAATGTTGTAATCTCTGTATTCTCCTGTTCTTTCTTTTACAGGATTTAGAGTTTCAGTTGCCATCCATTGTGTTCATAAAAACCCCAGTGTATGGCAAGATCCTGAGGTAAATAATTCCTTTTATATAAGGGGAAAGAATAACTACAAAATCTGCCAATGTCCTGGAAAAAAGGGACATCTTGTTTTTCCTTGCAAGAGCACGGTGGCCATTTTGGGCTCCATGATCTTGCGCCATTTCATGCTGAGATCTTGTACCAAAGAAGCATTTTGTGGGGCTGTGATCTTGTGTGGTGTCCGAAAATGCATTTTTGGGGAGCTGTGAGAGCACAGCCCCCCCCCAAAGCACATCTTTTGGGCTCCATGGTCTTGTGAGGGTCACGTGACATGCATGGGAGCATGTCCTGGTTTGGGGTCTCAACATGTTGGAGGGTATGTAACTAGATAGTTAAATTCAAGCATCCAACTATGTTCTGAAGTTCTACAAGGCTCTAGGATGTACATGGGCCTCTGTGTGATGTGGCAAATGCCCATTCACGTAAATCTTCTTGTATAGGTTAATTGTGGATGGTTTGATTTTAATGTTTATATAACTGGCTTTTAGTCTCTGTAAACCATATGGAAGCCTATACTGCCATTAAATAGTGGGCATTTATTTGGTATCTACATGCATTTCAAACTGTACTTCCCACAAGCTTGCTCTCAATTCCCTTTAAAGGTAAAGGTAAAGGGACCCCTGACCATTAGGTCCAGTTGTGGACGACTCTGGGGTTGCAGCGCTCATCTTGCTTTATTGGCCGAGGGAGCCGGCGTCCAGCTTCCAGGTCATGTGGCCAGCATGACTAAACCGCTTCTGGCAAACCAGAGCAGCGCACGGAAATGCCATTTACCTTCCCGCCGGAGCGGTACAGTTAATCACTAAAACAATAGTTATGCTGCTGTGATTAATGAAACAGATTTATGTGGCAAAACATTTTGGCTTCCACCTTAGCAGTTGACAAGAGTGAAAGCTGAAGCATTTTGCCACATAAATAAACCTGTTTTGTTAACCACAGTAACATATATCTAGATGTGGATATAGATCATCATAAAGATGGGGAAGTTCTGCATGCTTACTAGCTTTTCAGATCAATAGATCTTGCTCTTATTTCAGGAAGCTCCAACATCTGCCTACAATGGAAACCTAGAGGATGCAAATATATACACTTCCCCATCGCACTTGGAACAATGGTGTTCCTTTTTTATTGTTCCCTGAACAATATGGGTTGTTTAGCTCTCCTATAAATCCTTCTCCTCTCGTGTCAAAAGTAATGCTACAGTTTAGCAAGCATAAATCATTAAAAAGGTACCTAAAACCTTGTTTACTTTAGGTATTTGATCCTACAAGATTCTCAGCGGACAACCCATCTCAAAGACATCCTCATTCATTCATCCCTTTTGCAGCTGGATCAAGGTGAGTCTGAAACACACCCTTTTTAATAGTATTGACTTTTTTAAAAAGGAAAAGAAAAGTTTGTTTTGTCCCCAGGCAAGGTCCACCGAGCATGACTTTAAGAAATATAGGAAGAAGATGTGTGCAACAAATATAGAGAACGTTTTGTCTTTCAGAAGGCTGTACAATTCATACAGCTCTTTTCTCAGGTTAAGTGTGGGATTCACAGGTTAGGCAGAAAATAGGTGTCACCCATACTCAGTGTGCAAAAGGTCACGGACTACTACTTTGACCTCATTTAGTATAGACAGAGATGCATTTGAATTTGATCACTTGATGATATTCATAGCCACTTTCCTTTTCCACTCTGATTAGGAACTGTATCGGGCAACAATTTGCTATGAATGAGATGAAAGTAGCTCTTGCTCTAACGCTGCTTCGCTTTGAAATCCTGCTAGACCCATCAAAGCTGCCCATTCCTATCCCTCAGATGGTCCTGAAGTCTGAGAATGGGATACACCTCTTCTTGAAGAAACTTGACTGATATATCAGAGAATTCTATCAGGAGGTCCTTCTCCCCCTCCCTTAAAAATGATCTTTATTGGTTTTAGAGATTTTCCAAATTTCGCCATCATAATACATAATACATACCTTATTTCTTTTAACCTTAATACTTTAACTCTAAACAAAATTGTACTTTCCTCCCTCCTTCTTCTAGTTTCTCTATATTTTCTTTATATTTACACATTTGTCATGTTTACATTCTATGTATACTTAATACTATGGAATAATACTATTCAAAATTTCATTAATGAAACAAAAGACGAGGAGGTGAAATCAGTTATGATTAAATGGGCACAAGATATAGGCCATAACATAATGTTTGAAGACTGGGAAAGACTGTGGAAAACTGACTTAAAATTTACAGATTGTTCTTTATTGAAATAAAATTATATGAAAATAATGTATAGATGGTATATAACACCAGTTCAGATAGCAAGAATGTACAAAACTGGCTTAAATGTATGTTGGAAATGTAAGGAAAAAGAAGGAACTTTTTATCATATGTGGTGGGATTGTAGTGAAATTAATTTTTGGGGGGAAATAATATATAATGAATTGAAGAAAATGTTCCAATTAACATTTGTAAAAAAGCCTGAAGCATTTTTGTTAGGGATTGTAGGAAAAGACCTGCCAAGGAAACTGAAGAACATATTTATGTATGCGACAACGGTGGCAAGAGTCTTAATTGCACAAGGCTGGAAGAACGAAGAAATCACGACAAAAGAACTGTGGCAAGAAAAACTGATGCGACTATGTGGAACTGGTGAAACTGATGCATAAATTACACGACAAGGACAACTGTGACTTTAAAGAAGAATGGGAACCTTTTACAAAGTACCGGTACTTAAAGAAACAACAAAATGAACTGAACTCATTGGCAGGTTTTGAATAAACAAATCCAAATTTACTATTGGTAACATATAGATAGATAAATTAAGGATCATTACAATTTTAGAATATGCAGAAAATAACATGTGCTCAAAAACCAGAGAGAGGAACTGAGGGAAGTCAGGGAGGGTGGGTTCTTTTTAGGGAGGGGGGAGAGAAATTTATGGGGAAAAATAAGGTTGATATGTTTTTGACAAATTGTTGTGCTGAAATGCTTAATAAAAATTTATAAAAAACAAAACAAAACAAAATTTCATTAATGTACATCCTTCAATTGTTGTAATATGTTTGTTCAATATTCTTAAATCCAAAACGAATGATTTCTTTATTTGTGTATAGTTCTTTACTAGGTATGTTGTAAATTTCATCCAGTCTCTTTGGAATGCTTCGTCGCCCTGTTCTCTGATTTTTCCAGTCAATTTTGCTATTTCTTCGTACTCCATGAGTTTCCACTGCCATTCTTCAACTGTGGGTATTTCATGTTTCTTCCATTTCTGTGCAAGTAATATTCTCGCCGTGGTAGTAGCATAAAGGAACAGTTTCTGGTCACTCTTTTTTATATCATCTCCAACCATACCTAGCAAGAATGCTTCTGTTGGTTTTTTTTTGGAAAGTGTATCTAAAAATCTTTTTAAACTCATTATATATATTTTCCCAGAAAGTTTTAACTTTTTCACATAACCACCACATGTGGAAAAAGTTTCCTTCCTTCGATTCACATTTCCAACAGTTCTTATTTTTCATTCTATACATCTTTGCTAGCCTGGCTGGCAAAATATACCACCTATGCATCATTTTTAATATAGTTTCCTTCAAGGTCAGACAAGCGGTAAGTTTTAATCCTATGTTCCATAGCTTTAACCATTTATCCTTTAGCAGACTACCCTTCAATATGTGGGGCAGGTGATGGCACTACTTCCCCTCTTCCATCTTCAGAACTAAACCAATGCCTAACCGCCAATACCCAGGAAGTTGTGACAAATTGCTACGAGGTAGGCGAAAACCAAGTGGCTGGTGCCAGTTTGCCAAGTGGAAAAATTCCTACCAGGCCCCTCAACGGTGACCAACCAAGGTCCATAGCAAGGTCAAAAAGAAAACCTTATAGGGCAGGAGGGTGGGAAAAAGCAGGAACAGCTGGCGGGCGGCAAAGAGGGAGATCCCGGGCCTTGTCCTGCCTTTATAGGGCAGGCTCCACCCCTGAGCCAGCCGATTGGCCAGCTAGGGAGTGACACGGCTGGGAATCCCCACCATCGTGTGGGGCTGCCGCATACATGGAGGGGCCGCGAAGCCCGCAACCCCACCTCCTTCTTAGCGCGGAAGTGGCTCTCTCATAAGTCACTATTGTGATTTGCTTTTCAGTTGCTTGTAGCATGGAGTGCATTCACCAAATCCTGAGAGGGCTAAGGTTATACAGCTTCACATTTTTAGTTGATGGAGTCGGGGAGGTTTTTGCAGCACTGTGGCCTAGGAGCAATCCCTAGAGCAATGTGACTAGTTAGATCTTGCTGGGAGAATGTGGTTGAAACTAAGACGGTGAGGATAAGTGTGTGTGTGTGTGTGTGTGTGTGTGAGAGAGAGAGAGAGAGAGAGAGATGCCAAATAGATACCCCCAACCCCCAACCTTTGCCACAATGCCGATTGGCTAAAGGCCAGTGGCATAACTGTGGCACCACCAGCTTGGAGTGGGGCAAGGCCCACCCACAAGCCAGTTGGGGAAGAGTTTCAGGGGCCGAGCACAACATGGACCCTCTGTTAGGAGGATCCAACTTATCTCCAGAAAGCATGGAAAGTAAACACAGTCTGGGGCCCATATACTGTAGATTTTTTTGTCTGGTAATGGTGCTGAGTTCAAAAACCACTGAATCCCAAAGTTTGTTTACATACACACAATTCTACCACAGGTAGTAAGAGCCTTACATGCTGCAATCCCACCAACAAAAGGGGGGACGTCCTTTTGGTATGCGAGGTTAAAAACCATTTATGTATTGTTTTAATGAATTTTCCCTAAGCAGGGCTGAAACAGAAAAAAAATGGTTTAGAGGATTAGATTCTAGACCACTGAAGGATCGATCCCCAAGACTCGATCAGCCTCCCGTGCTAGTTGAAGGTTTTTGAAGGGGAAAAATTGCAAATCTAGAAACAGAGCATAAACTGCCCCTTCTGAGAACCCTTGGGCACCAGAGGTTCAAACCCATGGATTGGGTTGAGCATCTTCTAGTGAAGATCTTCTTGGTAATGGCAGCCTGACCCAGCAGCTCCAATACCCATGCGGCTAATTTATAGTCGAATGACTGCTAAATAAAAGCATTCTCCTCCTCAAATTTGTCTTCAGAAAGGTAATGTCACGGGAGATGTTGTGTCATAAAAGTAAGCTGGTTAAGGAAGATTTACAAGAAGCATTGGAAGCTGATTGCCTGGTGCTGTTTGAAGAGATTAGGAAAGATGACATGATGTCTGGCCTTCAGCATCAGAAAGGAGTAAGGAAAAATGGAGGATTTTATAAACAAATTAAGGAAGGTTTCAGCAACAGACTGGGCTGCAGCATTGCAGCTCTTAGAAGCAAATGAAGCCCTTAACATGACTTTATCTACTCAATCAGAATTGCAACTATTGCAAAAGGCAAATGAAGATCTTGAACTAAAGTGGGAGGAACATTCAAACTGGGACGGAAGAGAATTTTTTCCTCTTTGCGCAGTTCCGGAACAGGAGGAGGGAGCAGACATGATTTCTTTTATAGTGGAATGGATAAAAAGTTTAAATATAAATGTATCTATTTCTCTGACTGATACAGAAAGAGCATACAGAAGAGGTGGGCTATGCTCTTCATCAGTATTACCTAGAAACACAGTAATCCACTTTGAGAAATACTTTAAACTTTAAAGTTATGCACAATTTCAGGTTTCTGAAATATGGCTTGGTCACCCTACAATTGTTTCAAGATATCTGTCCAGAGACCCTCTCTCAATGGAAATCATTCCTTATATATTGCTGCTCTAAGACAATGGGGTTCCCTTTTAAGTTGCTGGTTCTAATAAATGGCAAATACCAGGCAGTTTTGATGAGCAACAAATGGAGAGCATATTCAGAGATCTGAATATCCCGATTCCAGAAGCAACACTCAAAGATGGTGCTGTCCCCACTTCCTGTTGTTCGGCAAACCCAAAGCGGCAAAGGCAAGATAAAAGCTTCCACACTTCAGGCCTGTAATAAAACCTGGCAAGACCAAGCAAATAAATAAATAAAATACATCAGTAGTCATTATAATTTTTCAACAGGACATTAGGCTACCTTAATGCACCCCTGGGGGTAGGGAGGGGGTGGAGTATGGGAACAAACCCCCATCTTCACTCCCAATTTTGTTTCTGGTGCACCAGGGAGAAGGTTTTCACAGCCCTCCCAGCTCTGAAGTTTCTTGGGGCTATGCACTTCAGACTTTTTGTTTTGTTAAAGTTGTTACACTCTTTTAGTTTTGTACTGTCCGCTTCAAAGCAGTATAATGTAATGCATCTCCCCAGATCCAGCAATGAAGTATGCAAAAAGTCAAAGAACTCATGTCTCAAATGCCAGTGATATTTGAATGCCTACCCTTTGAATAGTTTTGCCCTTCTGAATCAAGGCAATATTGAAATGTTCCCTTTTCAGTAAAGCTTCAAATCTTGCTCTCTTAACTGGTGATCCTAAACTTCTGGCATTAAGTGACATATTTTTTACACTCATCGGCATTATGTTATATTGCTTTGAAAAGTTGTGCACTCATTCAATTAATGCTCTTTTTTTACATCCTTCCAGCGTGCCTTGGATTCTGATGATAAAAGATGCATTGCATGAATAATAATATTATCTTCCCATCCCTCCAACCCATATCCTTTCCCCCCCTTTTGTATCAGTATGTTTGATGATGTTTGTATTTTGTCTTTATTTAATTTTTTTAAATAAAGTTTCTTTAAAAAAGAAAAAAAGATCTTTGTTACCTCCCTATAAGTGCTGCAGAAGGGGAAAGGGCATTCAGTAAGCTGCCTTTCATAAATGATTACAATGATTATGACTGAAGGTAACAGCTTAAAACTGTGATCCATTCATTGAACATAAACTTACTCAAGTTGTTGATTTCTCAGAGGTCACCAGAATCTTTGGTACTGAAAAACACGTACTAAGTAATTTAGTCATATGTTGATGCCATTTGATCTACTTGGATATTGCTCTTTTTCAGAAAGATATAGGTATTGCTGAATATTGCTTTATTCATAAAGACTCTTTATTTCCCTATATGAACCCAGTTTGAAAAGTTTGTTTAGCTGCTGCTATCACTTTTAAATGCTACTTTAATATATAAATGTTATTAACAATGAGTTGTTATATGCTCATGGTTTTTTGAAGTATTTACATGAAAGGAAGGTTAAAAATCTGTTCAATAAATACATCTTAAATTAAGACTGCAGTTTCAAAATAACTCTCCATATTGATAATATATGAGTACAAATAGCAGTTTAGAGCCAGGGTGGTATTCACATTTCCCAAAACAAAATGCAAACCAGCAAACAGGCACTTGATTGAATTTTACGATGCAGTTCTTCAATTTAAAAAGTTCTGCAGAAAATGCATATGGGTGCACAAAAGTGTATTAGCAACATGTTAAAACTGCCTGCAAAATGTGTATATTACACAAAATTGCATACATAAAAATATCTGCACTAAAATGCTGATGAATTTTTGTGAGTGCAGAAATGTGGTGAAGTGGAAGTGACATTGGGGAAAAGAAAAAGTGATTGTCAACCTGTAAGTGAGGTCTATTGAACTCAATAGGACTACATTTTTGAATGGACATGTCTAGGATTGTACTGCAGGATTGGCTGGGGAAACCCAGCCAGATGGGTGGGGTACAAATAATAAATTATTATTATTATTATTATTATTATTATTATTATTATTATTAAAACCTTTGCACGTTGACCTGCCCATTATTCCACTGAAGTCAGTGGGGACTTGCTTTTGAATGAACATGCACAGTGCTGGTATCAGTTGCACCAAGTATAGGGGGCGGAGGCGTCACCAGCCCCTTCAATATTCCTTAGCAGGGGGCTTAGCTCCCTCATATTGAGGTGGCAGAGGAGTCCGAACCACCGAGCCAAGTGGCAGGCTCCTCCTGAGCAGGAGATGGGACAAGCATGTGATCTGCATCATGTGTGTGCCATCACAGGTGCACGCCACACATTGAACATGTAACCTCACGCACGCGGCATGACATTGGCCCCCCAGTCTTCAGCTCAAAGCAGTCAGGTATCACCTTACCAACATAGGCCATGGTACGTAAACATTTGAAGTACCAGTGCTATACCAACTCAGGATGTTTTCTGGATTAACTAGGTGAAATGTTGTGGAATCACCTTTGTCCCTCCAAACTACAGAAGATGTTTTGCTGCCTTGCACAATTCCCTCTCAAACACTGGAGGGAAGCACTGGAGCGTTCCAGCCCACAGTTGTTACCCAAGAAGTGCATCTGTGTGCATGTTAAATAGGAGGTTTCTGGTTACTTAAAGGTAGTCTCTATTCATACACATAACAAGGCAACACAAAGGCTGCTGGGAAAGGGCAGAGCCTGCTGAAGCATTATGCTTTCTCTGCTGGAAAAAATGGATACCCACTTTCTACAGGTCTTGCATCTTTTTATAGGGCTCATTATTCTTTTTGGGCTCCTGCAAATCATTAAGTTGTACCGGAGGAAGAAAGAACTTCTCAAAAACTTCAAGAGTTTCCTAGGACCTTCCAGTCACTGGCTTTATGGCCACAACAGGGAGGTAAGGAAGAAGGCTTGGAAAAGGGAGGGGGGATATTTATTTGCAGTTGAAGGGGCAGATGCAAACATCTTTCTTTCTTTCTTTCTTTCTTTCTTTCTTTCTTTCTTTCTTTCTTTCTTCTTTTTTTTTGAAAATGATATTTATTGAAGTTTCAAAAAAGGTTACAAAAATAGGAAAAAGAAAAGAAAAGAAAAAAAAGAAAGAAAAAATACAAAATACAGAAAAGTAAAAGCACTTAAAAACAAATCAATCTTTCATTTACTTGTTTCCCTGACCTCCTCACACCTCCCTTTTTTGTATTCCAGTTCAGTTAGCTAATTCAGCAAATCCTTTCCCTCTTTCTTTTTATCCTAATCCTTTAACTTAATATATTGTAACTTTAGATTCTCACCTGTTAACAATCCATTTTTACATACTCCTTTGTAATATTGCTGCTAAAACCACGTAACTTCATTCTGACATCATTCTAACATTCATTAATTTTACAGTATTTCTGTAAATAGTCTTTAAATTTCTTCCAATCTTCTTCCACCAACTCTTCTCCCTGGTCTCGGATTCTGCCAGTCATTTCCGCCAGTTCCATATAGTCCATCACCTTCATCTGCCATTCTTCCAGGGTGGGTAGATCTTGTGTCTTCCAATACTTTGCAATAAGTATTCTTGCTGCTGTTGTAGCATACATAAAGAAAGTTCTATCCTTCTTTGGCACCAATTGGCCAACCATGCCCAGGAGAAAGGCCTCTGGTTTCTTCAGAAAGGTATATTTAAATACCTTTTTCATTTCATTATAGATCATCTCCCAGAAAGCCTTAATCCTTGGGCACGTCCACCAAAGGTGAAAGAATGTGCCTTCAGTTTCTTTACATTTCCAACATTTATTATCGGGCAAATGATAAATGATAAATTTTTGCAAGCTTGACTGGTGTCATGTACCACCTGTATATCATTTTCATAATATTCTCTCTTAAGGCATTACATGCCGTAAACTTCATACCTGTGGTCCATAACTGTTCCCAGTCAGCCATCATTATGTTATGTCCAACATCTTGTGCCCATTTAATCATAGCAGATTTCACCGTTTCATCCTGAGTATTCCATTTCAACAGCAAGTTACAAACATCTTTCTTTCTACTTGGCAGGCAGTGTTATATATGGGAAAATACAGTATTAGGTTAAAAAGCAGAATGAGAATTGTGATTGCAAATGTAAGAAGAGAGAGAGTGTGAGTGTGAGTGTGTGCATGTGCATAAGTAGAGTGAATAAGAGGTGACTCTTCTTACTGTCCAATTCTCCTTCTGCTTTTTCACCCAGTCAGAACAAGATCACCTTGAAACATTTCCAGGATATTCTCCTCGAATTCTCACCAGTAGTGTGATTACAAGCTAGTTCTGGCTTTCATCAGATTTACTGAAAATATATTTCACTTGCCACCAATTTCTCTGTGCTTATGTGTCTGATGTGTGTTTTCTTTTGCTTGTATTGGTGCGTAGCTATCTTTTGTTTCTTCATCTTTGTCTTAAAAACAACAACCCTTCCTCACACGTAAGTTGTGCAATACGGTAGATGAACACCTTATAAAGGTGGCAGGAGGGGAAGAGGGAGGGCAAAACCAGCACCACCCAGAAGAGGTGACCATTGCAAGGTCATGTTGATAAGATCTTCAGTGTACTTTCTGTGAAAATTTTGACTACTAATCTTATATGCCATGCAAGTACCTTCTTGTAGAACTCTCTTCAGAAACAAAGTGAAATATAAATTCTCATTCACTGAATGAATGATTCTCTGGGATGGGTTCTCCGCCGTAACATCTACACACTCAGGACATGATTTAATAAACATTTTATATGGTTACTTTCTGTCATTGCAGATCCATCGAGGACAGGAACTAAAGAAAAGCTTGGAATGGGCAGAAAAATATCCTTATGCCTACCCTAGATGGTTTGGTGGCTTCGTGGCTGTTTTAGTAGTTAACCATCCAGATTATGCAAAAACTGTGTTTGGTCATGGAGGTAAGCTTACACACAGCTGCAAATTTCCCCTTACAGATGCCCCCAAAGCACAAATCCCGACTGCCACAGCCCACAGCTGCCCCATGCCCCATTCTCCCCATGGGACCCTCAAGGGAAGCTTCCCGCTTTTCTTGAGGAGGAGCATTTTTCCAGCGGTAAATAGGCAGGACAAGTAGCAGAGGCTAGGCTACCATATGCAAATAGCAGCTACACTCTTAACACTTCACAGTGAACTGGGCACAATATACTTATTTCTAAATTGTACACTGATGCCTATTTCACACGAAGCTGTTTGTTTATAAAGACTGGCTCTTAGACTTTAAGGCAGTGTGTCAGGCGGCAGAGGAAGCAACTCCCACTGCAGGTTGCCAGGAACAGATAAGACAAGGAAAAGTTCTTAAAATCTGCTTTTTTATTCAATATTTACAGCCTCTTGGAATAATGGCATTGTCCCGAGTGACTCTCCACACCCTTTTTCTCCCACTTACTCATTCGTCATCATCTCCCCTATGGGTGGCGCTGAGGGCCCTTTGCTTCTGAGCCCTGTGCTCTCCTACTTTCACTGCTTGCCGGTTTCTGGGAGTGAGGGGTCTGGAATGCTTTCTAAAGACACAGTGTCTGTCAGCTGCCACCCCTATGGTGCTTCTTCTTCCTCCTCTTCCATTATTTCTCAGCTTTCCCCCTCATCTGCCTCTGAGCTGTGACCTCCGTCAAACCCCTGTTGTAATTCTGAACTGTCTTCTTCTTCTCTGGAAGGGTCAGGCTCCACCATTCCTCCTCTGCCCAGTCCCTGACACAGTGGTTGCGGGGGGGGGGCACTTTCAGCCTGGAGGCCATATTTCCTTGTGGGTAAACTTCTGAACACCAGGTGCCAGGAATGGAGATGGGGCCATGTGCAAAAGTAGATGCAGCAGCGAATGTAAAATTCTCCTATTGTAAAATAGACTACATTTTGCACCCCCCCTTCTATTCTCCATCCAGACATGTAAGAGGCAAAAATACTGCAATGCAGGATCAGTGAGGAGCGTAACCTGGTGAAAGGGGTTGAGGCCTGGGGAGACTGAAATGCTACGAGGGCCCAGCCTGATGTTTCCACCCCTGCTTTAAGGTTTCAGTTGTGTTTCCTTTGTGGTCACATTCAGTTTTTAGTCCTATAGGTCATGTCCTGAAATGGCTGGGCTGGATTTGCGCCACAGCACCTTTCCCTTAATGATTATTCTTTTTGCAGCTCTGGATTTTGCCGGTCATCATGATTCAGCACGCTATAGAGAGGCCAAAGTCCAAGCTAACTAGTAACAAGCTCCTACTAGTGCTTGTGTCGGTGATGTAATACCAGCCTAGAGATATGAGAGCAGTCAATTGCGGCATCAAAGAGGGTGCCTTTCAAGCTGGATTTGGCAAGGAGCACAATCTTAAAGAAATAAACAGCACCCTTGTCAGTTTTGTACAGGTTCATCAGTACCTCTTTGAAAACCAAATGCCATCTCAAAACAGATTGGTCTGCTTAAAATTTAAAAATAGACAAAGTTTGGAATATTCACTATAGTTTACCTTTGATTTCATCCTGTTTTTGTTTTTGTCTTGCTTTGAGCAATGAGTGTGTATAGGATTGCAACCTCAAAACAATATTTTCTGTTATATATTTTTTCAGATCCCAAGGCTATGACGACCTATAAGTTCTTCCTCCCTTGGATTGGTAGGTAAAATGATAATTCATCATCATATATATATGATGTTGCTAAGGTGCTGATATATATATGGGGGGGAGGGGAGAGAGAGAGCACGCTTGGCTATCTGCATCTTGGGTATCTTGTTTCCTGAACCTCAGTCATCCCACATATCTGATGATCTCAGTTCAACCTGTCACCTGAAGTTGCTTCACATCAGTATAAGCAAAGGCAAAGAGCATTTATCCCATTTACCCCAGGTTTTGCTTTTAAGTGTGTCTCACACAGGATATGTAGTTAAATAAAGGATGATGTTTTGCTCTTCTTTTTGTATAAAGAACAATCCTGTGCCTAAATATTTCAGTCTCAAGCTTGCTTTATTGAATCAAGGTCAAGACCCACTATCCATAGTGCTTGTTCATATTATGCAGTTCCAAGCAGAATTTCATTCAGAACCTTTTACCTTGATTTTTTTTTTTTAGCTGAATGGTAAGGTAGAGATTTTAAACAAATTGAACAAATCAGATGTGCAACTTGGAGGGTTCTCCTGTCGAAAATGAGCATTTTAAAGTGCTGTTGCTTTCTATGGAAGCATTTATCACATGGTTAATTCTCTTTTGTTAAATCAGTTTGACAGGATCCTGTCTCTGGGCTTTCAGTCCTCATTAAGGTTGCATTCCTAGCTAGTCTTACCTAGGTGTAAGTTCCACTTATTTTGGACTTATTTTTGAGTAGACATGGTTCATTCTTAGTCCTGTCAGAGAGGTATGAAAATGTACAGAATGAGTCTCTGATTCAGGAAATATGGCTCTATTCACCCCATACCTCCCAATATTTCTGCCAGTATTCCCATTCTCAAAAAGCTATATGGCTCCTGAAATGGAACCTCTGTATATCCTAACCCATCCAAACCCTTCCCACAAAAAACCTTTTAGATTATGTAAACAGGTATTTTTGACTTGCAGAAACTGACATAAGAATAGTGCTGGTTTCTCCTTCTGCTTCTAGAGTAGTCCTTTTTGGAAAACCTGGTTGGACTCCCATCAGCCCCAGCCAGCATGTCCAGCAGTCAGTGTTGGCTGGCATTAGAGCAATATTTGGATGACCACAGATTCCCTACTCACAGGTTCCCTACCTATTGATATTTCCAGCACGTTGTCATTGCAAAGTCCTTCCCACTGGAATCCTCTCTGAATATGTACGTGGATAGCTCAGTTGGTTAGAGCACGGTGCTGATAACGCCAAGGTCACAAGTTTGACCCCCATTTGGGACAGATGCATATTCCTGCAATGCAGGAAGTTGGACTAGGTGATCCTCAGGGTCCCTTCCAGCTGTACAATTCCATGTCTATAAACAGATGATTTTATTAGGAAAACTCGCATCCCAGAAATCCTGAGCTCTCTTTGGATCAACAGTCCTGCAATGTTCTGAATGGAATCTTGTTCTTTGTGCCCACAGGAAAAGGACTTCTGATCCTGGATGGACCAAAGTGGTTTCAGCACCGCCGACTGTTAACTCCAGGGTTCCACTATGATATTTTGAAACCTTATGTAGCACTGATTGCAGATTCAACCAAAGTGATGCTAGTAAGTAGGATGACTGATGTTGCTAAGGTGCTGAGATGCTGGTAAAATGTTGATGATACTAATGGGATAGTTACCTCTCTCACAGTTGGGATTGGTCATAGTTCAGTGTAAGATGGAATAAGGGGCAGGTAAATGTTATGGTCTAATACTGGAATGCCCTGAACTTGAATGGCAAAATAATAACTGGTGATTTCTATATGCAGTGAGTGGGCTCATCCAATCCACTCTTATCCCTTCAAAACAGAGAGGGCAAGTTCACATTATCCACTGATGGTTAGCAAGGATAAATGTTACGGACACGTCATAAGTTAGGCCCTGTCTGCACTACACATTTAAAGCAGAATCAAAGTACTTTAAACAGTCATAAACTTGGGAAGTGGCGTTTGTTAAGGCTGCATAAATGTATAGTCCAGATGGAGTCTGCACTATAGAACTGTTCATATGGTAAGAAAACTCTGATATTTGACCTGGGACAGCCATTCAATAAAATGCTGTTCAGGATCTGGGAAGTTAACTCTCCTTATCTTTGCTTTCTGTTCTAGGATAAATGGGAGAAGATGATTGACAAGGATGCCACAAAATCACTGGAGATGTTTGAACATGTCAGTCTGATGACTCTGGAAAGCATCATGAAATGTGCCTTCAGTTACCAGAGCAAAGGGCAGACTCACAGGTTGGTGTCTTGTTTTATTTTTAATTCCCCCCCCTATAAAGCTGGCCTATACAGTAGATTTTTTTTTTACGATGCCCATTTCCATTTAAACTGAAGGTGTTTTCACAAAACTGCACAAGCAGCAGCAACAACAGCAACAGCAGCAGCAACAACAACTGTCTGCTTTTTCTTTCAGAGAGTTGGATTCTTACATAAAAGCAGTTTATGACCTGACCTATTTGGTGTCACAGAGAGTCCGTACCTTGTTGTATCGGATTGATCTCATTTATAGATGCACAGCAGCTGGGCGCAGGTTCCTGGAAGCCTGTAGAGCGGCACACCAACATACAGGTAATACCCCACCATCAGTTTCCTCCTTCATTTACAAGAGAACTAGCTAATGACAATTTGAGAGATATACTTTCCTCTAGCCCTTTGAGAAGAGTCACCATGGCTGCCTGGAGACAGAACACTCACTTGCAGAGGCAGATGAACTTGACAGCAGCAAGACAAAGGAACAGTATCAGAAGGTTCTGGGGTTGGTAGTGAGCAAGGTGGGTGGGGCAAGGATCCTTGGGACATGCCAGCTGTTGATAGAGGCCCTGAATCACTCTGTATTTGTCTAGTGACTTCTGACATGTGTGGAGTCTATCATACCCACCCAGTGTTTACTTCATCTGATTGCTGGGAACTTGGGGCAGTATTGCCTTTGCAGAAGTGTAAAGTCTCAGAGACTTAATTCCTTAACATTTGTCACACAGACAAAGTCATAGAAGAAAGAAAGAAATCTTTTAGGAAAGAGGGAGAACTTGAAAAAATCAAACAAAAACGGCACCTGGATTTTCTGGATATTCTTCTTTGTGCCAAGGTAAGAAACTTCAAAATGGCAATGCAATGGACAGTTTTTGCTATGTGGCATCAGTAGACACATGAATAACACTAACTATCCTGCAATAGAACATGAAGCATGACATCCAACCAAACAACAATAGTATATTTGAGATAATGAGAGCTAAAAGTTAGAAACATTTAGCTGCTAACCAGCTCTAAAAGTAACTACACTGGCTTCCTTGTCTTCTACACTGGCTTTCTGGTCCTCCCTGTTCCCTTATAATCCTTGATGATGTATTAGTTTGAAGTAGGGATGCATCTGGAACTGCACCGATCACATAGGAATCTTCCATACTGGCTATTTACTGCAGCATTCCTCAACTTTCAGTTTCCAAATGTTGTTAGCCTACAGCTCCTATCCCTCCAAGTTTGCTTACCCATTGTTTGGGGATGATAGGAGTTGTAGACCAGCAACAGCTCTGGGGAGCCAAGGCTGAAGAAAATTGATTTATTGAGCCTTTATGCTGATATGTTCACAGACAAAAAATAAAATAAAATAAATGCTCTGTTATCCAGTGTTATCTGTTTAATCGGCATTCATCCTGATAGGTTCATGGGGAGGCTATACACCATTGCCTCCTAGTCAGGTTTTTGCAGTTTGAAACATTGAACCATTAAATTGTAGAGTTGGAAGAGACCCTGAGGATCATCTAGTCCAACCCCCTGCAATGAAGGAATATGCAGCTGTCCCATATGAGTGACAAGATAGTTTCACCAGAAAGTGCAGAATAACTAGATTTTATATGAATAAAAATTTCCAACTGGAAGCACATGGAAAGAGTGTGGGGTATCTCATCTCTAGCAGCAAAAAGCATATGTAGGTGAAGAGTGATGAAGCCTTCCATCATCTGTGAATATTATACCCCTGATGAAGAAATAATCAAGTAAATGAGTAACAGGGTTCTTTTTAAAAAAAAAAAAAAAAAGTTTCTTAAGTCCTTTAACCATAGCTGTCAACTTACAGATTTGAAAATAAGGGACCAGCAGCCTTGAAAATAAGGGACCAGCAGCCAAAATAAGGGACCTGCAGCCTCACCTGCTCCAGGCACTCCAGTCTTCCTGTCCTCCTGCAGTCTGGTCAAACTCATGCTGGTAGCTTCGAGAACACTGTCCAACCAGCTTTGTAACCAGAGGTTCAACTGAATAGAATCTGAATCACATGCACCACAAGGCCTATGCAGCCTCAACTTAAGATGGCTCCCTGGCCTGGCTTTGCACTGCAAAGTTTGCAGCAGCACGTGCAACAAAATGGCGTCCAACATTCAAAAAACCCCTCAGCTTGCATTAACTAGCCACACACAAGGCATGCAAGCTCCACCCCCCAGTCATTCTTAGACTTCTTATTGGGTGAGCAACACAGCCAAGCAACACAGTTGGAGCCTCCCTCCTCCCTGGCCGACAGGGAGGGAGGGAGAGGAGCTGCTTCCTTTGAAATTTAAGGGACATCATTTAAGGGACATTTAAGGGACATACATCAATAAGGGACAGCAGTGGGACATGGCGCTGGAATAAGGGACTGTCCCTTCAAATAAGGGACACTTGACAGCTATGCCTTTAACCATGGTAATCTTTTAAATCTCTAACCATTTCTAACTCATCAAATAGCTAATCTCCTTTTTTTCCTTCAGGATGAAAATGGTGTTGGGTTATCTCATGAAGATCTGCGTGCTGAAGTGGACACTTTCATGTTTGAAGGCCATGATACCACAGCCAGTGGGATCTCTTGGCTGTTATATGCAATGGCCCAGAACCCAGAACACCAGCAAAGGTGCAGGGAGGAGATAAAGGAGACTCTGGGAGATCGAGACACAATTCAGTGGTGAGACCTCTAACTCTGCTTTTTCTATACTTGTATTGCCTGTTTGAAGGGAAAGGATAATTGCTTTCTCATTCTAGAATCAGAAGATCAGTTTAATAGGCCAATCACAGAGACTCCTTTATGATTTCCCTTTTGCTCCTTTGTCTCCGACAAACACTTAGACCCCCAAGTTCTAAGTATGTTTACTTTCAAAAGATACAGGTGGGAGTTGGCAGTTGTTGAGTTTTTCCATATATATTTTTTGGTCTATTTATGTACTTACATATTTATTAATTTTATATCCCGCCCTTCCTCCCATTATTACGTGATGAGTCTGCTGGGATCTTGATTGTCTTCGTCTTTTATGTCCTTCGGTTTATGTGCTTCCAGCTTTGATATGTAATGAAAAGCTTCCTTTTTTGGGGAAAAACTTGACGCACATAATTAGAATTCTGATAAAATCATAACATCTACAGTGGTACCTCAGGTTACACACGCTTCAGGTTACAGACTCCGCTAACCCAGAAATAGTACCTTGGGTTAAGAACTTTGCTTCAGGATGAGAACAGAAATCACAGGGTGGCGGCAGCAGGAGGCCCCATTAGCTAAAGTGGTACCTGAGGTTAAGAATGGTTTCGGGTTAAGAACAGACCCCCGGAACGAATTAAGTTCTTAACCAGAGATACCACTGTACTGAAATGAGTGGGACAAGTAAGTCATAACTAATTTAGCTCATTGATTTCAAAGGGACTAAAGCATCATTCTCCAGCCAGGTGCCCTTCAGATATTTTGGACTACAACCATGTTAACTGGGGCTGGAGTTGTAGTTCAAGTCATCTGGAAGGCACCACGCTGGTGAACGCTAGACTCAAGTATGACTAACTGACTTTGGATCCAACTCACCATTTCCACATCTAGAGACCTGTTTAGACAATCAGTATGTGCTGGTACTGCAGTGGCAAGGGAAAGTCAAGCCCATGATTCCTCACTATTCCTCTCATCTGTTCAGTACACCTAGGTACCAAATATCTGAACAGGGCTTAGGTCTTCTAGCCATCAACTCTATTAGAGCAGTGTTGTCACTGGAGATTTGTGATAGAGAGAGAACGAGAACCAAGGTGTATAACACTGTGATATATTTCACACCCTTGCTACCTTGTTTGACCAGTTGCACAGCTGCTGAAAGATCCTATCATATTAGTTGGAAATGTTGTTGCTCAAATGTGGTTTCATCTGAATTTTTCAGGGATGACCTGGGGAAGATTCCTTACACCACCATGTGTATTAAGGAGAGTCTCCGTCTTTACCCTCCAGTGCCTGGCATCTCCCGGCAGCTTAGTAAACCCATAACTTTTTGTGATGGACGCAGCTTACCTGAAGGTTAGTTCAGATTGGCCCTTTTCTGTTGCCCATGGTCTACCTTCTCCTGCTGAAATCAAGGAGACTTAAAAATGTTGCATTGTATTCTTTGTAAACTGACTCAAAGTCAAAATTTGATGGTGAACTTCAGGTGTCAAAACCACATTCTAGATTACAGTAATGTTATGAAATTTTCAATTACAATGGAAGGTATTATTTGCAAACCAAAACGGAAAGGTTTGGAATATGTGCATTTGACCATTGTTTGCCCATTCAGAACTTACTGCAACGTCTCTTTCTAAATCAGTGTGGTGAACCTCTGGCCAGCAGAATTAATTAGGGTTATCAGATCCCAATTTGTCAGCGAGTCCACCTTTGCCAGCTGGCAGCCATGGCTTGATTCAAACCACACCTGCAAACAGGCTGCTGATCAGCTGATCAGCAGTTACTGCAAGCCCATTTGAACTTTGACAGATGGGTGCTGGCTGGATCCAGTCCCCCCTAACCCTGTTATAAACAAACCCACTCTACTAGCTTCCTCCTGGCACCTGTGTATCTTCACAGAGAATACACTCAGTGCAGCTTTGAAATTAGTGGTTAAGATCTCTCAGTTTTGAAATTAGTTTTGAAGTTAGTCGTTAAAATCTCTGTTTTGAAATGTTCAGTCCGCTATCTTGATTCAAAATTGCATCAAATTACATCTAAGCAAAAATCAAAACCTGCTCCTTTCCTTGGCACCCAAAATTTGGTTACTATATATATCTTAAGAGGCTCCATATGCAAAGTGAACGAACAACTTCCCAAAATATATAGACGATAAGGATGATAACTTTCAGAACTCATGCCTGAGCTTGTTTCCCCCCTCTTCCCTCTCCACCTCCCTTTCCTCACATTCCATGAATTTATGAGGGCAAGCCTATGGATTTTTGTAAACTCTGGGAGCCTTTTCAATTAATGAACAGGGTAAAAATGCTTTAAATAACTAACACAGAAATGAATGCAACATTGACCCCATTTACTGATAGAAAGCAGCTTCACTGTGAAGTGAAGCGAAGGCTACAATGGGAGGGAGCGCTTAACACTTTTCCTGCCGCTATCTCTTGACTCTGAATTGCCCACCCAAAATTTCTCCTCAGGTTTCCAAATATCAGGCAATTTGGAGCAAAGAAGTGGCAAGACAGGAACATGTTAAAAATATGTGTTGCAGCTTTATATTGCCTTTACTCGGTGTGGCTTTTTTTTTTTTTTTGGCAGGGGAACTATGGTTATTGGTGTGTTGTGTAATCTCTAATTGTGCACAATGTTTATGTGGTCCCTCTCAGAGGTGTGGCTAATATGTTCCATCAATTTGAGTAGGACATACATGCAAGTCCATTTAGCTGGATCAGAACCATAAGGTCCTTCTGCCCCCAACATTGCTTCTTTGTCTTCCTGCTCTGAGTTGAAATGTTAACTCTGAGATAGGTCTTCGGTAATGGCAGTGCTTGGATATTGAAATTAATCATGTTAACACTTTATGTTACAGGTTCCCTGGTGGCAATTAATATTTATTGTATCCACCGAAACCCTAGTGTATGGCAAGACCCAGAGGTAATAATTTGTCGTTATAGATAAAGGCATGTGACAACATCTGCAACTAGTTTCAGAGCTGGAATACATAGCTGGTGGATTTTAGCCAAACTGCATTTTTAAAATTAAAGGTGAAGTGATCGCATGGCACAACAATTAGATAATCTCAGCTACTGAGGATGTTGCCCTTTGAGTCATACTAAGGGCTCGTGCAGACTTTCTTTTGTGCCACATTTTCCAGGCACAGGTCAGGGCTATAAAGCTCCATGTCTGTGTATGTGGTTTTTTGTCCTGGCGCTTTCCCTGGGAAAACCCATGTTTTACTGCTGAATTGAAGCAAATGGCAATCTGTGGGGAACCTGACTACCATTTCCTCCAATTAAAATGGTACTGTCAGGGGTTCAGGGACAGAGGCACAGGGTAGGGAGGAGATGGAGAGCGATGGGGGTGAATCCCAGGACAGCGAGGAAGAGGATGACAATGACTCAAGAGATTCCATGAGTCTTTCCAGCGAATCAGAGGATTCCCAGAAGGGGGCGCCAGTGGTCAAGGCCAGGGGAGCCCCAGGGGGGACGTGTCAGGAACAGGGGGCCAGCGGGGGATCCCAAAGTGGCAGCTGGGCGTCAGGACCAGCCTCCCCGCCAGAGTGCAGCGAAGGGGGTGGAGGTTCCAGTGTATCAGGGGAAGCAGCTCCGGCAGCAGAGAAGGGAGGGAGGTCGGAGCAAGCCACCCTCCCGGAAGGGGAGGGGAGTAGTGTAACTGTCAAAAGGAAAGTTAGAGGTTGGGCGCGCGCGCCAAGTTCAAATGTAGAGGCGCGCGGAAGTACAGGGAGCCCGGAGGAAGGGCCAGGTCCTAAAGCCCGCAGGAGGGGGGAAGAGCAGTCGGGGGATAGCGCGTCAGGGGAATCCAGGAGGGGCGAAACCCCAGCGGGCAGGAAGACCCTGAGGAAAAGGAAAGAGAGAAAGAGGTGGAGCAGCGCAAGGCTCTTAAACTGGTGCAGGGGAGGGACTGACTCAGAGGGGACTTCAACGGTCTAAGCGTACAGACGTGGGGCTGCGCGCCTCGGATATGAAGCAAACAATGAACTGCAATAAACACTTTTGTATGTAAGAAGAGATTGGCGTTGGTCTTTTGTGAGCTGAGACCTGAGGCAGCCTTGACAGTAAGTCCCCTCTCCACAGAAACCGCAAATTTTTTTTTTTTTTTTGCAAAGCTCACGAAGTTTGGCAGACATGACTACTGAGGAGCAGATAGCGTCCCTGCAAAACGCAGTCACCGAGCTCTCCACTGCGGTAGTGGTCTCTCAGAAGACAGTTGCCGAAGCAGAAGCGCGATGCCAGGATCTGCAAGCCAGGTGGGATCATGCGTGCAAAGAGGGGTTCCCGGGTCCAGATCAGAGGGAATCGGACTCGGACGGAGGGGGGGCAATTTAGTAGCCCACTTCGATGGGAACCTGAAGCATTATCCCAATTTCAGAGCAGACGTCGTATACGCGCTGCATTTGCTTCGAAAAGACTTCAAAGATGAGGAGGAGAAAGTAGGCTTTATTGTGTCCCATTTGCATGGGGAAGCTAGAACCTGGTTACGCAATTTGTGGCGCGAAGATGGTCTTGCCCGCAGGGACTCTGACGAATTTATCAAAGCCATGGACGCTTGCTTCCAATCTACCGTTGACGTTGATGTGGCGCGCCAGGAGATGCATGGATTGCGGCAGGGCAAGGCTACAGTGCGTCAGTACCATTCTCGCTTTTTGCATTGCTGAATGTGCTGGGCTGGGAAAAGGACTCCTGGCAGTGAGAGACTTGTTCTGGGAGGGGCTTCATGGCTCCGTAAAAGATGAGCTGGCCAGGGGGGACAGACCTCAAACCCTAGCAGACGTCGTGCAGAGGGCACTCACGATAGGGGTGCGCCACGAAGAACGCCCTTGGCACAGTGAGGAGGGGCGTCACGTCCGCACACCAGCTAGAGCGCCTCCTTTTCTTCCCAGGGACCTGGGACGTACAAATCCCTCGCCTATGCTGAGGGGGGAGGAACCAATGGAGCTGGGTGGTGCAAAGGCTCAGACAGCTGCCGGAGCCTCAGCGTCCGGAGCAGTCAAGGCGAAGCCTCCTAGAGGGACCAGGAAGTGTTACATCTGTGACAGTGCACAGCACATGGCTAAAGAGTGTCCCCAGAGGCTCCAGAAGCACACTGCAGCCTTAGCAACAGTAACAGAAGCAGCGCTACAGGGAGAGCAGTTTCAGGGAAACGGCAATGCCTGGCTGGAAGCAGGAATGCTGGGGCACAGCCAGGCGAGTCAGTAAAGCAGTCCCCAGCGCTTTTGCAGCCTACAGATCCCTTACCACCCAAGCCAGTGGTACAGCTCACTGCTACTCTCCAGCTACCTAATGGACTCACCCTGGAAGTCCCCATTACAATTGACTCAGGGAGCAACGCAGACTTCGTGGGGAAGCAGTTCATCAAGCAGCATCGCATAGCGCTTCTACCAGCCACGCTGCCTCTGAACGTCGTCACCGTAGATGGCAGGAAGTTGCTGGGCGGGCAAGTGGTACAGCAGTCGCCACCCATGGTGCTGCAGATCGGGAATCATCGCGAGGTCATCAGTTTCAACGTCACCCGCCTGTCAGACACGCCTATAGTGTTAGGCATGAGTTGGCTGGATAGACACAGCCCATCATTAGCGTGGTACCAGCGGCAGCTCACCTTTGGCTCGTCCTACTGCGCACAACATTGCATCCAGACCGGCCAGGAGGAGGAGGGCCAGGAGGAGGGGCAGCAGTTGCATCTCGGCATGGTGCAGGCGGTGCCCCACAAGTACAAGGGGTTTTTGGAGGTCTTCTGCGAAAAGGAAGCTGACCAATTACCACCCCACAGGCCCTACGACTGTGCAATTGACCTCCTACCAGGGGCGACGCTGCCGACTGCGAAGCTGTATTCCATGTCTGAAGATGAGATGCAGGAACTCAGGGAGTTCATAGATCACAATTTGAAGCGGGGATTCATCCGAGAATCCAAGGCAGTGGGGGGCAGTCCTGTGTTTTTCGTGAAGAAGAAGGACACGCCCCAAAAACGGCTCATTGTGGACTATAGGGCCATAAACTCGATGACAAAGCCCAAGGCCTTCCCCATGCCCAAGATTGACGACCTGCTCGCGACGGTGAGGAAGGGGAGGATCTTCACCAAGTTGGATCTACGCGGAGCATACAATCTAATACGCATGAGGGAAGGTGACGAGTGGAAGACGGCCATGTTCACGCCGCTGGGCACCTATGAATACAGAGTTATGCCGTTTGGTCTCCAAAATGGCTCCCACTGTTTCCAAGCATTCATGCACCACGTGCTAGCAGGACTCCTCTACAAGAAGTGCGTATGCTTCCTCGACGACATTCTGATCTTCTCAGAATCGCAGGAGACTCACGAGAGAGACGTAAAGGAGGTCCTGCAGAGGCTACGGGAGCACAGACTCTACGCCAAACTGGAGAAGTGCCAGTTCGACGTGACGGAGGTGGATTTCCTGGGCTACCGGCTGTCCGACAAGGGACTAGCCATGGACAGCGCCAAAGTCCGCGCGGTGTTGGACTGGAATAGCCCGCGCAATCGGAAGGAGGTCCAGAGGTCTCGTCGGCTTCGCCAACTTTTACCGCAAGTTCATCAGGGGTTTCGCGAAAGAGACGGCAGCTATCACGGACACCCTCAGTTCCAAGAAGAAAAAGTTCACCTGGACGGACCAGGCGGAGCAGTCCTTCAGGAGACTTAAAAGCCTCTTCGCGTCCGAAGAACAGCTGCTACACGTGAATCCCGGCAGGCCCATGCGGGTTGAGACTGACGCATCTGACAGAGCATTGGGGCCGTCCTCTTGCAGGAAGATCCGCAAGGGAACTGGAGGCCCTGCGCTTTCTATTCCCGGAAGCTCAGCAAGTCGGAACAGAACTACACCATCTGGGACAGGGAGTTGCTGGCCATCCACGCGGCTTTCAAGGCGTGGCGGCACTTCCTCATCGGAGCCAAGCACACCGTGCAGGTCCGCACGGACCACAAGAACCTAGAGTATTGGCGCACGGCGAAGCTCCAGAGCCAGAGGCACATAAGATGGGCGGAGTTCTTTGCGGATTTCGATTTCAGGATAGAGTATATCCCGGGAGACAACAACGTCATAGCGGATGCGCTCTCCAGGAAACCGCAGTATCTCGAGGAAGCGGCACCAGTGGCAGCCAGGCACATTTTCGCACCGCAAGCGTGGGCATGCGCTTCCGCCGCCGTGGACCTGGACGCGGTACGACGCGCGCTACAGACGGATCCGTTCGCACAATCCAAGATGGAGGAGGTGCGAAGAGGGACAGCAAAGGACGGCGAATTCCAGATACGCGACGGCCTGCTGACCCGCAAAGGTGCTCTCTACGTGCCGGGAGACGATCTCCGCGCGAAGGTTCTACAGCAGTTACACGACGCACCCAGCGCGGGTCACTTCGGCAAAGAAAAGACGGCGGACTTAGTAGCCAGAGACTTTTGGTGGCCCCAGATGCGGGGAGAGGTCGCGGATTACGTCGCCAGGTGTGACACTTGTCAGAGGTCCAAGCCAGTGCACAAGAAGCCAGCGGGATTGCTGGAACCGCTGGAGACGCCACTACAGCCGTGGGATAGGGTGGCGCTGGACTTTGTTACTGATCTGCCCAGTTCGCGGGGCAAGACGGCGGTGCTTGTGGTTGTAGATCTGTTCACCAAGATGGCGCACTTCATTCCTTGCGCGAAGGTGGCAACAGCGGAACAGACCGCCAAGCTGTTCATAGACCACGTGTTCCGGGTGCACGGCTTACCGCGGTCCATCCTGTCCGACCGGGGTCGCCAATTCATTTCCAGTTTCTGGCAGAAGCTCCTGGGCATCCTGAATGTCAAGATCAACTTAGCGTCGGCGAGACACCCGCAAACCAACGGCCAAGCGGAGAGGGTCAACGCCATCATGCAGCAGTACCTGCGATGTTACGCCAATCAAAAGCCTGCAACTTGGGTGGACTACTTACCGATGGCCGAGTTTGCCTACAACAACACGAAGCACGCGTCAACGGGGGTGACACCGTTCTTCGCCAACAATGGGCGACATCCCAGAACCTTCCCGGCGTTGGAGACAACGACGCAGGGGGAGTCGCAGGGAGCTGAGCATTTAGCAGCAGAATTGCAGGAGGTCCACGAGGAGCTACGACGGCACTTGGAACTAGCTAAACACGCCTACAAAGTGCAGGCAGACAGGCACAGGAGGGCAGGAGAAGACATCCAGGTGGGGGACTGGGTATGGTTAGCAGCCCAGGCGGTGCCGGCCAAGTCGTTAGCTAAGAAGAAGCTAGGACACAAACAGCTAGGGCCATACCAAGTTGAGGGCAGGATCAATCCCGTAGCTTTTCGGTTGACCCTCCCAGAAGGTTCCAGAATGCACCCGGTCTTTCATAGGTCGGTGCTTACACCCTACAAGGCCCCACACAGATTTCAGGAGCCAGGGACGGCACCAGACCCACGTAGAAAGTCACCAGGGGGGGGGGAAGTCACCGAGGATCCCGACACTCAACGAGGTCACGGAAATTCTGGACTCGAGATGGGGGGAGGAGGGAGTGGAATACCTCCTCGCCAGGGAAGGTACCCCGGCCAGCGCCAACAGTTGGGTGCCAGATTATGCTCTGGAGGAACCTCTTCTTAAAGACGAGTTCCATGCACTCTTCCCACACAGGCCCATGCCAGCGGAGTATTTTGACGACTGGCTTTTACGCCCACACTTTCAGACAGCACCTTCCCGGGGTTCTCCTCCGCAGAGGAGACCACGCCGGAATCGAGCCCTCCAAGGGGATCGTGCTCGGGGGTGGACACGGACCGCTCTTATTGGTGGGACGATCAACCAGAAGTGGGGTGGCGAAGGGGGCCTTGGCAAGCAGCATCGCCTGAAGTAACAGGGGGAGGGAAGGGTTTGGATGTGTTGGGGGAGGACCCCGGTTTCGAGCACTCATACACTGAACTGGAAGCAGAGGAGATCGACGTTGACGAACTGTATCCAGCATCTACCCCCGCTACAACGGAGCTCCCGGAACCTGCGCCCGAGCAGCGGGAGGGGGGAAGGGGGCTTCGAGGGGGATGGATGTCAGGGGTTCAGGGACAGAGGCACAGGGTAGGGAGGAGATGGAGAGCGATGGGGATGAATCCCAGGACAGCGAGGAAGAGGATGACAATGACTCAAGAGATTCCATGAGTCTTTCCAGCGAATCAGAGGATTCCCAGAAGGGGGCGCCAGTGGTCAAGGCCAGGGGAGCCCCAGGGGGGACGTGTCAGGAACAGGGGGCCAGCGGGGGATCCCAAAGTGGCAGCTGGGCGTCAGGACCAGCCCCCGCCAGAGTGCAGCGAAGGGGGTGGAGGTTCCAGTGTATCAGGGGAAGCAGCTCCGGCAGCAGAGAAGGGAGGGAGGTCGGAGCAAGCCACCCTCCCGGAAGGGGAGGGGAGTAGTGAAGGGAGTAGTGTAACTGTCAAAAGGAAAGTTAGAGGTTGGGCGCGCGCCAAGTTCAAATGTAGAGGCGCGCGGAAGTACAGGGAGCCCGGAGGAAGGGCCAGGTCCTAAAGCCCGCAGGAGGGGGAAGAGCAGTCGGGGGATAGCGCGTCAGGGGAATCCAGGAGGGGCGAAACCCCAGCGGGCAGGAAGACCCTGAGGAAAAGGAAAGAGAGAAAGAGGTGGAGCAGCGCAAGGCTCTTAAACTGGTGCAGGGGAGGGACTGACTCAGAGGGGACTTCAACGGTCTAAGCGTACAGACGTGGGGCTGCGCGCCTCGGATATGAAGCAAACAATGAACTGCAATAAACACTTTTGTATGTAAGAAGAGATTGGCGTTGGTCTTTTGTGAGCTGAGACCTGAGGCAGCCTTGACAGGTACAATGTGGGTTTTCTTAGGGAAAGTGCCAGGACAAAGCACAAAACAAAAAAACAAAACACCTACTCGGATACGGAGCTTGAATGCCCAGACCTGTGCCTAGAAACATGGCACAAAAGGATGTCTGGATGAGTACCAGTTGCTGGACAGCAACGGTGAGAGAGGGCTGTTGCCTTCAAAACCTGCCTGTAGGCTTCTCAAAGGCATCTAGTTGGCTACTCTGCAAAGCAGGATGCCGGATCTTTGGTGTGATCCAGCAGGCCTTTTATGTTTTGAAAGCAGAACTCTAGCATCAATAAGGGAACAATTTGTAATCATGTTCCCCTTGCCATTTTCTGCTAAAAAGAATCACTCCTAAATGCATTTTGACTGTTGGTGTGAAATTGTGTGCAAAATATGTGTACATAATGATCATGCAGATAAATTTTCAAGAGGACTCTTTTGTGTTAATGGTGTACTAATGTGGAGAACTAAACTTAAAATTGGGAAACTGAGGGAAATGGTAATGGACAGATTCGTTCATGCCTTCTCTTACCCACACAAAATGTGGGGAGAATGGATGACAAGCAGGCAGAATCTCCTGCCGCTGCCCTGTTGCTTGCCACCAGAGGCAGATTTAGGGCTGTGTGGGCGGTGTGCATGCACTAGGCACTGAGCTTAAGCCCGGTGTGTGAGGTGCTGGGCTTTGGGAAAGAAGCAGGAGACTCCTAAAGGGCCCTAGAGCCCCCAAACCTCCTTCTCAAAGTCAGACACCTCCTTATCTGCCTTTGGGAAGGCAGCGCGAAGGCAGGGCACCAAATGTTGGCCTTGCACAGGGACCATAGTAGCCAGGTCTGACACAATTGCCAGAATGTTGCTGTTGTTACTGCTGCCAAAATGTGGGGTGACCAGATGGGCATGCCACTGCTACCATCACCATGCTCTTCCTCTGCCACCACTGCACAACTCTACTTGCTGCTCACCTGCCAAGCCAATTGGGAGAACTGGAGGAGGTGGGTCAAAATGACAAGGAAAGGTGCAAGTTGGCACAGGATGGTGCCCTTCTACCTTCTTTCCACTTCCACTCTTCCTGTCCAGCTCCCTCAGCAGTAGTGACAGCAGTGGGTGGCCTGGAAATTGGGCCATTGGCCCAGAGACCTGAAGATTGGATATTGGTGCATCCAAACCTACAGTCGAAATTCTGGCAACCTTATAGGAAGCATTAGAACATTTTAAACATATATGTCTTAAGACTGGGCCCAAGATTATATAAAAGCTTCCAGACTGAAGCAAGACTATCAATTGCTAAAGATGCTAATAAAAGACATCTGCCTTCTTTTCCTCCAGGTGTTTGACCCCAATAGGTTCTCATCCGAAAAGTCATCTCAGAGGCATTCTCATGCTTTTGTGCCTTTTGCAGCTGGACCAAGGTGAGGATATAGACTGTTCAGTGTCACGGTCTGATTTACTCTTGGCTTAATTAGGCAGCAAGCAGATACTTACGGGGTTTCAAACAGTTTATGATATACGGTAATTGCTCTCCGAGCCATTCACAGTGACTGACTGTCATTAACACATTGAGGTATCTGAACTATGTCCTCGCTTCCAACAGCATATCCTCCAGGAGCCCCCTCCCTCCCTTCTCTTTGATTGACGCCTCTCTTTAACCCTCATGAACCTATGAGCGTGAGCAGATTCATACTGATATACTGCCCCTTCCTCTGATGTATTTTCCTCCTTCTCAGTTGCTACCTGATACTCCTTATCAGTGCCTGGGCTTTCTGCCAGCCCTCGCTCACTGTCATGAGAAACTGTCTCTTCCTCTCTGACATGAGAAGCCAAGGAGGATTGAGGGGGGCTGGATTCAAACTGCTGTGGAAGAATGAGAGGTTCCTTGCTGCCTCTCTGAAGATCCCTGTCTCTGCAGATCTCCTCTTCTTCCTCACCATTGTCGCTCTGGGGTGCCATGTCTCTGACATTCAGGCCAGATGAGTGAGAGGTTGCTGATGAGCAATAGGGAGGAGAGAAAGAAGCTTGTCTATGGAGTCTGGTGGAGAATCTGTTGCTGGGCTAGAAGTTCCATTGCCCCTGACCACTGGTCATACTGCTTGAAGGAAGCTGGAGTCTAACAACATCTGTAGGGCCACAGGTTCCCCACCAATGACCTAGAACATATTTGCAGGTGGCTACAAAAAGATTACATTAATTGTCACATTTGAGTGATGTATTGCTACAGGAAGTAAAAAAAAAAAAGCAGGGGCTTGGAAAGGGGCATGTATTTCTGTCCCACCCCTTCTGCTGGCTGGAGGCAATGTCCTCAAGAGGCCTGACTTGCTTTTTGGGAGAAACCAAAGCTATGATAATGGAGAGCCTATTGGGTTGTGGGTTGTGAGTGCTTTGAACCTTCCGCTACTGTAAAAAACAAAACAAAATAACACCTCACATTGCAGAAGTGCCATAAGTATCCTGTGACCTTCATTCCAAGGAAACCAATCCTGGAGCACATTCAGGAACCCCTGAAACCTTTCAACACACTCAGGGATTGGGGGAAGCATTCCAGCATGCATCAAGGTCCAAGGCTCCGAGAGGATTTGGGTTTCCTTGTTAATGGTTGGGAACCTATCCAGGCTGAAAGTTGGAATGAAAGTATTTTGACAGGCAGAGTCAGCATTTTCAGGTAAAGCTCCTGCATTATGATTAACTGCTTCTTAATAGATTTTCCTGACTTTTCTCTCTTTCCTCAGGAATTGCATTGGGCAGCAGTTTGCCATGAACGAGATGAAAGTGGCCCTTGCCCAAATCCTACTCCGGTTTGAAATCTTGCCAGATCCAGCAAAGCCTCCTGTTCCAATCCCCCAGGTTGTCTTAAAATCTCAAAATGGGATACACCTGTTGCTAAAGAAACTCAGCTGATAGCATATACAATTGTAGGGTTGGACAGGTCATCTAATCTAACCCTCTGCAATGCAGTAATTAATAAAATGACATATTTAAAGGCAAGCTGTGAATCATTTGAAACTTCTCTCAAAGAAGTGGGGGGGTGTCTGATGGAGCATATTAGGAGAGTTAATGAAGTAAACGCTCAGTTACGAAGAAGGAGCCCTGGGGTCAGCCATGCCTCCATCCTCTGTCTCCAAAAACCCTTCACCAGGACTACCTCCCAGTTCAAGAGGGCACCACTGCTACTGTGCCACTTCCAGGGGCATCAGACAGGTTCCCTGCCCCTCCAGAGTGTCTTCAGAACAGAGCTTTGACCCACCTAGACAGGAGTGGGTGGCATGGCAGTACTGGGCTTTGTTGGGAAGAAGGGCGGGATATAAATTCAAAAAAATAAATGGAATAAATAAATGCAGTGGAGCTGGCCTGCTGGCTGACACTCACAGATCATATCTAGTTTGGATCTTAGTCAACAAAGTAACTGGCCATGCCTGAATACAGGAACACTGAGATATTGTAGCTAAACATGCTGAGTAAGGCTTAATGATTATCCTAATCACTTCCATTACTCCAGAGCTATTTCAAACATGCCAGAAGGACACATGGCACATGCCTCATCTATTTGTGCCAAGGAGTGGTCAGCAAAGCAGGGCAGTGCCACAAAGCCACCCTCACAACATATGTGCTGCTACTTATGGGGCAGGGTTATGGCAAGGTTGCGAGTGTGCATTGTGGTGGGAGCAACAGATTAGCTCTGCCAATGTGGCTGCACAGTGCCAACCATGGTGCCTTTCTGCCCTGCCCAGGCACCATTCCAGTAAAGCATGCTATTTTTCTGGAAAAAGAGGTGCCAGAACTCACCATGAAGACCTCCCTTGTTTGCTTATAATGGCAATGGCACCCGCAAGAGAAGTGCTGGAACAGAGTTCTGGTGAGTTCCAGCTGAAAAAAAGCCCTGCCACTAAGTGGCAGCAATACCAGCGTTGAGATTGGCAGCCCCATGACATTGCTCTATTCTATCAGCTGCTCCTGCAAATTTTGTAAAATATGCAGCGATTTATGTAAAATGAACCATGGAAAGAGAAGGGAAGTCACTGATATCTTAAGGATGTAAAACGAGTATCTTAAATTGCAAAACAGAAAACCTAATAGAAATTATACACAGAATGGTAAAAAGAAAAAGAAAAAGAAAGAAAAGGAATGAAAAGTAAAAAACCCACATGGAGGCTATGCCAGCAATGATAGCTCCACCCTGCCATTCTCGCCTCCAGCTAAATTCTTTTCATTCAGGTAATTTACCTCTGCATGCATACTTTATTCATCATTGCCAAAAACAGCAGGCAACTGGATTTACCCCTGCAAACATGCCCTGACAAATACGTCTCAAGTTGTTCAATCAACAAAGAAGCAAAGCACTCTATGGACATAAAGTTTTCCAGTTTCATAGCGATTGCCCTACACTTTATTCACAACTGAATGGTGGCTTGTAACACAACATTCAGTCAATTTTCAGTTCCTTATTGAGAAACACAGTTTTACAAAGAGACCCCCAACATCTCACTAGGTAAGTCAGAGAATCCCTTACCATGTGGACATGGCCATATAGTCAGTGGCTGGGGGGGCCTGGGAAACTCCTAAAACCCTTGATCAGTTTCTGCCTTGCCTGAAATAGCTGGATGGCTTTCAGAGCGATGCAGGTGAAGATCAACGCCACAGTCCAATAGAAAAACCGAGAGGGACTCGCCGGTAGCCAGGACCATAAGGCATTGATTACAATTTCCATTGCCAGCTGCTTGCTTTGCTCCAGCATCTAGAATAAGTCCTGAAAACTTTCTGGCTTGCTTGGCTTTGCTCTGTGTGCTGTGTGAAAATATCAGATCAAATCCAGGTACTGCAGGAATCTGAGAACTGCTTAAACCTCCACCCACACACTCTAATTAGTTCCACCTGCTGGGCGCTGAATCTTCCCCTTTCCCCCACTTCAGAGCTGGATCCAGATCACTGTTACTGGGAAATGTTTTAATTAACTGCATGCATCCCATCAGAAACTGAAGTCTTTATCCCAGTAGCCTCAAATTCCCCAATAGGGATAGGGGACATATTTGATTCACTTTCCATTTAAATAAAAAATGACAAAATTCACAGCCTCTGAAACAATACAAGAACCGAAACAGACATACTTTCAAATTTGCCCTTTTCCAAATTTTACTGCGTAATTCTTCAGAATACACTGAGGCAAAGTGTGTATAAAAAAATGCATGTATTAGTGAATATAGCATACAACAATATATTTTATTTACGGACATTGCTTTGCAAAAATGTGCATATTAGGCAAAATTGCATACTTTTGTATCCTAGGAAAAATGACACTAAAATGATGGATTTTCATGAGGACAGAGTGCCAAGCTTCAACATTCTTCCACCTTGGGTCCACAGATGATGTTTGCCCACAACTGTTGATGTGAGATCAGCAACAAGGAGAAAGCCCAAAAGATCAGGCTTTCCCCCGTACAATCCTTGGAACACAATAGTTATGACCTATATATTATAAAGCTGACTAATGCATACTTTGTTTTACTAAAAACAAACAAACCCCAAAGTATTCCTAGGTCTATAATATAAAACATATAAAAATTAAAATCCAGCCATATTAAGCCTTGATTTCAGAGTTTATATTGTAAATAACCAAAGCTCTGTAGTGGGCATGTTCAATAAGCACAGGAGAGTTTGCCATAAAATCACAGAAAGATAGCAAATAATTCATGACAACTAAATACCCATTATCCCAAAACCCCATCTGCCAGGGGCAAATACTCATCTGGAGCTCATTGTCATTAGCTCATCCTACTCTCGAGTAGGACCCTGGTAGAGACACATGCCTGGCTGGCATGTTCTCTCCCTCCTGGTCAATCGAGAGCCAGTGTGGTGTAGTGGTTAAGAGCGGTAGTCTCGTAATCTGGGGAACCGGGTTTGAGTCTCCGCTCCTCCACATGCAGCTGCTGGGAGACCTTGGGCCAGTCACACTTCTTTGAAGTCTCTCAGCCCCACTCACTTCACAGAGTGTTTGTTGTGGGGGAGGAAGGGAAAGGAGAATGTTAGCCGCTTTGAGACTCCTTAAAGGGAGTGAAAGGCGGGATATCAAATCCAAACTCTTCTTCTTCTTCTTCGTTCAGGAGCTTCAAAAGCTTTCTTCTGCCCTAACGTCACAGCGACTGATGCCAACAGACACCAGCACACTCAGGGATCCACAGAGTTTGTGCAGTCCGCGCAACAGAACTCAGTAGCTCAGCATTTGGATAATCTACGTTTATTTATATATAAACACATATGGAGCATTCTGACTTAGCTCCTTCCTCTTTCTCATCAGATAGCAAAGAGAAAAAACAATGGACAATCGTAACACAAACATCCTGTCTCCGTCACTTCCCACACTGTGGAGTCAAAACATACACCGTTATGTGATAGACAACAACCCCATGACTGCAATCATGGAGCAGGAATTCTAACAATTAACAGGGTCATATATAGGTTGGTCTCACATCAGCTGTTCTGTGGGAAGGGTCCTGAACACTTTTTAATATGTCACAACTATCTGCTGTGTTTTTAAAATGTGTAATTTACCTGTAAACCTTCTTAGAAAAATATTTATTGGCAGGAATTGAGAGTCCAGAAGCAAGCATTACTACTCTGGTAACAGCAGCCATCAGTGGAGAGCCTTCAGCTTCAGATATATCCCATTTATGGATCGGGTGACAATTTGCGGCATGGGAATCGGGAGGTTGGCAGGATCAGGCAAAAGCTCAAAGTACAGGAGTGTCAATGCAAGAGCAATCTTCATCTCATTCATGGCAAACTGCTGTCCAATGCAGTTCCTGAGTAGAATAAAGGGCAACATTACATTACAAACAGAAGAGCATTCTGCACATGGTCAAATCAGGGCCTTTTCGGTTGTTGCTCCTTCACTTTTAGATTTCCCTTCCCAGAAATGAATGTCTGGCACCATCTTTGTTCTCCTTTGTATGCCCTACCCTTTTAAGCTTTTGAGTATATATTGTTTTATGCTGGCAGCTAATTCTGCCTTGCTGTGGACTCATTCACAATTTTATAAGCCTTGAACACAGTTGTGTCTTTCATGGAAGATTAATGTAAAAGTCTCCTTTTATGGAGGAAACAGTGCAAAATATAGGTGAGAAAATATTTACCTTGGCCCTGCAGCAAAAGGCAAGAAAGCATATGGGTGGCGATGCTTTGAATTCTCTGTGGAGAATCTTAGAGGATAAAACTCCTACAACAGAAAATAAGTCATGGAATTTTGGATTAGAATGGCAACTGATATAGTGGCAAAAGAGCTAAAGGAAAAAGGGGCATTCACAAAAAAGAATACTGTTCTATACCCACTTACTGGGTCATAATGCCAATCGAGCTCCATGGGGCTTAGTTCTGTATAGGATTATAGGACTGCACTCTTAGCAACATGTTTTCCCCAATGTAATATGAAGGAAAATTCCTTCACATCTATAAATGCCTGGGCCAAATGAGACATGATGTTAATTGCATCAGTGTGCATGTTTTCAAAACTGTACACAGCCATTGGAGTGTCTGACCAGCAACAGGCCTGCAGGGCTTGGGAGGGAAATGCTAACCTTTCCCCCCTGCTGTGGTGCTGATGTTGCTCCTGAAGTTGCTCTTTGAATGGAGAGGGAAGCCTACACAGATTTTGTAAGCAGTACTTTAGGGACTGGTGGGTGGGTGGATTTTTGGCAGAATACTTCCATAGCTCCTGATGTGGATTAGGAATGTTTTCTGGATTAGGATTCCACAGCAGCTTTGCCAATATATTTTTGCAATGGTTTTCTTTTCGCAATAGATTTTTGCCATTTTGTAAGTGCTTAAGCAACATTTTAAGAATCATAACTACATAACATGTGGCCTGTCCTTCTACTTCATTAGTACAGTATCTTCCTCATACTGTTCTTATCCAATTCTGTAGAGGGACACACTAAGCTTGACATCAGAGTGTTAGAAGATATATCCAAACATTTTTCTTTTTACTAACAGCTGCTGGCAGGAAAGGGATTTGGATCAGAGTCATGGCATAGGGAGGAATTTAGCTCTACATGCAGACACACACACAGAAACACACAGAGAGACACACACGTTTTCACCAGCATCTCTCTCTCATGCACACACTCTAGAGCTGGTAGTATCTACATAGGAAAATGCAGGCATCACTTGTGTTTATATGTTTCTGCTCCACATTTAATATTATATCAGGAGGTAGATAGTTTGGCATTAGGCCACTGATATGGGGCAATGGACTAAATGTGCCTTTCTCACCTCCGAACTGGAATACTTCTGGATGTGTTTAGTAAGCTAAAACAAGCAAGAAACTGGTAAAACAAAACACTGGGATAAATCCACACATCTAGTCACACAGTGTTAGTGTGACAAACAATTGGCTTCTTTTCTTAAAGAAATTGTATGTGTCTATGGCAATTATTCCACCATCTTTTTCTCAAAACATGTCAACTTCTCTCAGTCTCACCAGAAAGGTCTTGCTTAGGCTTTTCTCCTTTTATTATTACCTCAGGATTTTCCCAAACCTCAGGATTTCTGTGAAGACCATAAATATCCAATATAGTTAGAAAGCCTGTGGAAAAAAAGAGACATCATCTAGTATCATTTCGTCACCAGTGATATTATGTAATGAGAATTAATTGCTATCCAGTGGCATTTACCAAAACATTCATTCTCAGTAACTTGCTGCAAAGACAGGCAGATTTTCAGAGCTGTTGCACTGGTAACCAGGATGATCCTGCACAGAGTACAGGAAGGCAGCTGGAAAGCATATTTCCTGGTTTGTTTGCCCAAGGAATTCATTTAGATGTAGGTGGGGCCTCAAGAGATCATCCATCTAAGGCCTAGCAGCTCCTGAAAGTGTCCATCTGAACACAGGGGCTGTGTACCTCTGTGTAGGCATGCACACCTGTATGTGTCCTCCACATATTCCGTGTGCACGAATGTGAGTGTGTGCAAGCAAGATTGTGCGGTGGCCGCATCACAGTTGTCAGTAACCCCACAAGGTAGTCCAAGGGTGAATGTGGTCCAGAAAAGGTTAGAAACCCTTGATGGAAGTTAAGTGACAGTGGAATTGAATAATGAGAACAGTGTAAGAATGAAGATGGAAGAGGAAGGGGCGAGTTCAAGGAAGTCTGCAGAAGGGAGAGAGGGGAAGCCTACCTTTTGGTAAGGTTCGTCCATCAGCAAAAGTCACAGGAGAATCCACTTCTCGTGCTATAAGAGGTACTGGAGGATAAAGCCGAAGGCTCTCCTTAATGCACATGGTGCTGTATGTCATCTTTCCCAAGTTGTCCCTTAAAGACACAGCCCAAAATTGCCAGATTTAGGTCTCATAACTTTTTTTTAAGGGATGCGGGTGGTGCTGTGGTTGCCTTGGGCTTGCCGATCAGAAGATCGGCGGTTCGAATCCCCATGATGGGGTGAGCTCCCATTGCTCAGTCCCAGCTTCTGCTAGTAGTTTGAAAGCACGTCCAAAAGTGCAAGTAGATAAATAGATACCACTCCAATGGGAAGGTATATGGCGTTTCCATGCGCTGCTCTGGCTTCGGAGTTCCGTTGTGCCAGAAGCAACTTAGTCATGCTGGCCACATGACCTGGAAAAACTGTCTGCAGACAAATGCCGGCTCCCTCGGCCTGTAAAGCGAATTGAGCGCCACAACCCCAGAGTCATCTGAGACTAGACTTAACTGTCAGGGGTACTTTACCTTTACCTTTTACCTTTTTAACCATTTATTAAGATGTAGCAAATAGGGTTCGAGAGCATAGGATTAGGCCAATTTCCCTGGAACCTAACAAACCTGAGACTTGTAGTCAGAGTACTCTGACCCTAAAACACTCTGCAGTGTTGCTGTCCCTTCATCTTCTCTTAATTTCTGAGAAACCCATAAAGCAGGAAATAAACATTTAAGGTTGAACAATAATTTAGTCTGACCATTGAATATCCTCCTGTTGCCCAACAAGCTCCATGATCTCCTCTCTGCATCTCTGCTGATGTTCAGGGTTCTGGGCCATACAATAAAAGAGCCAAGAGATTCCACTAGCTGTGGTATCATGACCTTCGAACATGAATGTGTCCACTTCTGCACGTATGTCTTCATCTGACAATGGATTTCCATTTTCATCCTAACCGCACAGGGAACATAGTGTTTTATAGGATTGGTGAGATCCAATATTTAAAGTTCTCCAAGACCCTCCTCCCTCTCCCAGCTCACATCAAACCTTTCAAAGAAGGTTAGTGATGGCTGGAAAAGCCCTTAGCAATATAGCATGGCAGGCATAGGTCCATTATTTTTACAATGTCCACCTTTGCGCAAAGAAGAATATCCAGGAAGTCCAAATGCCTCTTCTTCAGAATCTTTTCAAGCTCTTTCTCATTCTTGAGGGAATCCTTCCTCTCTCTTATTACCTTCTCTGCATTGAAAACATACAGTATGAAATGAATAAAGCTATACATAAGAGGCAAGCAAATATATTTAGATTGTGTTATGCTTAGGGTAACAAATACTTTTATTAGCTGAGCTCTGAAAAGGAAGCTTAGAATGATCAGTAGCTTAAAGAGCTAAAAGTTTTCAGTCCAAATTTCAGTCCACAGTTGGGAGCATTAAGGCTTCCAAATGCTGGTTTCTGGGAACCACAGGAGGGGGAAGTTCTTTTGTGTTTAGGTTCTGCTTCCTAGGTTCCCACCGGCATCTAGTTGACCACTGTGAGAAAGGATGCTGCACTAGAATGGGCTATTGGCCTGATCCAGCAGGCTATTCCTATGTTCTTAGAGAGAGTTATCATGTTGGGATTAAAGCTTCACATAGGAGAAAGCTAAAAAGGAGAAGAAGGATATAGGGAAGATGAGAATCCAGATGCAAACTCTGCTCTTTCACACACCCACACCCAGGTTTCCTCAGGGTCTTTTGGACGTTTAACAATTCAGTAAAGGTTACATGATCTCCAGAAATCCAGGGAGAAATCCTGAACAGGAATGATGTGGGAAAAGGACAATGAAATATTTCTCTGGGGACAGAGAGAAATTATTGAATTTCATGAAAATTCTCAGAAGTATAAGAAAGATATATTCATTATGTTAGACAAATGATCAGATTTTAGGGTTCCAGAAAGAGAATTCATGTTATTAGGAAGTATGAGAAGAATTGATAGGGAGGTAAATATAATGCCAAGGTGTTGGTTGATTTCATTTATAAAATTTTACTTCTTATAAATAGAAAGTCCTTTCTCCTTATATAAATGATTGAGCACATAAGTAGAGAAGAAGTTAAGTTGGAAAGGAGGAGGCAGTTATGTGTTTTCTTAATTTTGCTTCAACCTTTTTCATTTCTAGTCTCTCTATTATAATAAGACCATTGTTAAATTAATTTTTAAAAAAATTGTCTTGCTTTTCAAGTGCATCATACCAACACTTACAATTTTTAATTTTCCTAATGGTACTGAAACAATATCTTCTTTTATTTTGAATTTTTTTATTAGGAAATAAAATTATATATTAGCTCAGAAGAAGAGGAGGAGGAGGGGGAGCAGGAAGAAAAAGTTGTTGCCAGGAAGTAAAAAATACATACCTGTGTGATGGTGGGCTATTTTGCAAACTTTGTAAAACTGACGCCAGTAAATGAGATCATTGTGATGCAATGGTGTTTTCAGTCTCTGATAAGCCAGGAACCCAAGATCAAAAACAGTTTGAATATAGGAATTTTCTCTGTGGACAGTGAGAAATGGAAACCAATATAAACACACAAAAAAACAAAAAACAAAGATTAGATGACTTTGCAAGAGCCAACAAGCTGATGATCAATCCAGATAAGTCTGAGGTACTGTTGGTGCGTGGTTCCCTAGACTAGATGGATTGTGATGAAGTGGGTATGTAGTTTGGGGGTATTTCTGGCAGCCTTGGTGGCCTGTAGTGCCCTCAATCAGCTTTGGCTGGCAGACCAGCTGCACTCCGATCTGGACAGCGATAGCCTTATTTCCATTGTCTATACTATGGCTACCTCTATGTTCAATTATTGCAACACCTTATGTATAGGACTACCTCTGAAGACAGTTTCAGAAACTTCAGCTGGTGAATAATAAATAATAATAATAATAATAATAATAATAATAATAATAATTTATTATTTATACCCCGCCCATCTGGCTGAGTTTCCCCAGCCACTCTGGGCGGCTCCCAATCAAGTGTTAAAAACAGTACAGCGTTACATATTAAAAACTTCCCTGAACAGGGCTGCCTTAAGATGTCTTCTGAATGTCAAGTAGTTGTTTATCTCTTTGACATCTGTTTGGCGGCCTTGAAGCTCACCAGGGTAACATGTTTTGAGCATATTGCACAAATTCTGGCCTGACTGCACTGGCTGCCGATTAGTTTCTGATTACCTGGTACCTTCCATGGTGAGCTAGGCCTGGCAGGACAGCTTACTCTATGGCCTTAACCCCTTTGTGCATTAATTAGACTTAAGCATGCTGGTTATATGAGGCTGGTTATCTCACAATAAGAACAAACAAATTGGTCCAAGGGTTAGAGGAAGGAACCCAGGGTCATCCATTGAACTGACAGTTGGAAGATTCATCACAGACAAACGAAACTATTTCTTCGCACAGTTAAACTATAGAATTTACTCCCCAAAGATGTAGTGATGTCCATCATCCTGAATGGCTTCCTTAACCATATGCAGATCGCAGAGGTGACTGCAATCTTGGGCTTGCTTCTCATGACACTCCTAGCGCATGACACAGAAAAGAAGGTCTGTATCTGTCTGGGACTCCCACCTTCTCTGAAATAGGGATTTTATACTGACCTGTCCGTTTCAGCATTTTTCTGGTAGCTGAAGGCACATTTCATAATAGTATCAAGAGTCATCAGACTGACATGTTCGAACATCTCCACTGATGCTGTAGGGTTGCTGAGTACCAGCTTTCCCCATACATCCTAATATTTTAGGAAAGGGAAAGAAATGAGAATAGAGAAGTCTCCTGAATGATTAGATGATTCATTATTAGATACGATGTTGCATTTGTAGAACTCAGCAGGGAATAGGGGTTAAAGTAGGACTGGTTGGCTCTGCCTGTCATTAGCTCTGGCTCCACTTACTGATGGCCTCTTTGCCTTCTATCCTCCTAGTCCCAATGGGCATCAGTCACTACCGTCTGCTAAGCAGCTTCCTCCACTGCAGGGGTAGGCAACCTAAGGCCCGGGGGCCGGATGCAGCCCAATCGCCTTCTAAATCCGGACCAGGGACGGTCCGGAAATCAGCGTGTTTTTACATGAGTAGAATGTGTGCTTTTATTTAAAATGCATCTCTGGGTTCTTTGTGGGGCATAGGAATTCGGTCACCCCCCCAAACAAAAATAGTCTGGCCCACCACATGGTCTGAGGGACAATGGACCAGCTCACAGCTGAAAAAGGTTGCTGACCCCTGCTCTACTGGCTGGTAAGCGTATCTCAAGGACACACATAAAGCCTTTTGATTCAGTGGAGATGTGGAGAAGAATGAGGAAGCATCAGACTGACAGAGAGAGGGAGAGAGAGAGAGTTTGTGTGTCATAACTAGACATTGGGGGGAAATGTATTTGCTCCTGCAAAAGTCATTGCCTGCAACATAAAGGACTGCTCAACTAGCCTCATACTTTCACAGGTACTCCAGACTCAAACTTTTCAAAGGAACTTTGTGTTATGGAAGAGGAAGTAAACACGGTTTTGACATACAATTCTAGCTAATACAACACTGCACAACCCTTCAAAGTGATGCATTTAAATATTCCACAAAGAAAGCTTATGGTAGTCAGCATCTGTCTGTCCTGAAAATGTGGATGAACTAATTAAGACAATATCAAGTGTCACAGGTTATGAAGGAATTTTAGAATTCAATGCTGCTGCAAACTCATTGCCTGAGACCCAAAGGGCTGCTCAACTAGTTTCACACTTCGATGGGGGCTTCTGACTCAAACTTTTCGAAAGATCTTTGTGGTATGTCAGAGGAGGCTTTCAGGTCAAAGAAAGAGTCTGCTCTGGCCCTCTGAGTCTGCTCAAAGCAGGACTGAGATCATGAAGGTGGATGAGCAACTTCTTAGACTGGAGCTGACCTCCTGAAAGTAGCAATGGGGTTTCTTACCAGCATCTCCTTGACTGATTCTGCCATAAGAGTCACATAAGGCTTCAGAATATTGTAATGGAATCCGGGAGTCAGCAGTTTCCGGTGCTGCTGCCACTTTGGCCCATTCAGGATGAGAAGCCCCCTTCCTGCCAGGAAAAGGAAGGAAAATGAGGAACAGAAGCCCAAGATAATGTTGTCTTTCTTAGGCACATACACCAGGGTCAGGGTCACATGGAAAATTATCCACCACAGATGGCAGGGTTTACAGCACTATATATGACCCATTGAAGTAGGCACTTAATTGCTGGAATAATTCAAGTTAAGAATCTATTTACCTACTAAAGGATTTCTGAAACATGGAATGCAGTGTGTATATTTCCTTACAACCTGAGAAGTCCATCTTCACAGACTCTATAAGGACAGACTTTTGACATTGTAGGGAAACATCCTATAGAGTCTGATTCTTCAGCAACACGGGCAGGAATCAGTTGGCCAAAGGAATAAAGCTGGCACTGAAGCCTCCTGGAAGGCACCAGTGGGGAAGGCACCAGCTTAACAAATACTAGCAGCTTCCCATAGACCCAAAGGAACTTTGAACTTTGAAAGCTGAGAATATATGGATATGCTCGATACAAGAATATCACAGAAAATTCAGGAATACATAAAATTAATGAGAGAAAATACATACCAATCCATGGAATCAGGAAGTTGTATGTTACAAGAGCTTTAGGATCTGAATAGTGTGATAAATGAGAGAAAATGAGTTTAGCATGAGATGGTAAAAAACTATTTGTGAGAACAAATTTAAATGTTTAATTTGCTAAATTGTACTCTGTTGCCTGAATCTAGGGGATTCCTATGGGCACCCAGAGCTCCCTCACTTGCCTCTCCTTGCTTTTCAGCAGCCAGATCCAATGCACACTTCCACATCTTTGCACATGAGAATTAAGAGGAACAACCTTTGCAGGCCAAGCTTACTCCAAGGTGTGACCATTACCTTGCCCAGCCTTGGGGACTCCAGCCATTTGTTGGGCAAATAGTTGTGCTTCCCCCAATTTCCAAAATGAAATATCCAGTTCTCTAATGTACTTTTTGAATTTTGTAGTCTGCTGTGTGCCTTCTCTACCAATCTGATTTGAGCATTAAAGACTTGGGTAGAACTAGAGCTGGGAGCTGGGAGTTCTTTGCCTGGCAGTGAGGGACTGATGGGAGTTGGAGTTCAAAACATCTTGAAGGCATCAGGTTGGGGAAGGTTGCTTTAGGATGCTCTTGAAATATGAATTACTTACATTTATTTCTTGCCTTACAAAGAGCAGGTCAACTTACTGCATGAATAATGTTGACAGCCTTCAGCATACAGTGGTACCTCGGGTTACATACGCTTCAGGTTACATACGCTTCAGGTTACAGACTCCGCTAACCCAGAAATAATGCTTCAGGTTAAGAACTTTGCTTCAGGATAAGAACGGAAATCTTGCTCCGGCAGCACAGCGGCAGCAGGAGGCCCCATTAGCTAAAGTGGTGCTTCAGGTTAAGAACAGTTTTAGGTTAAGAACGGACCTCCGGAACGATTTAAGTACTTAACCCGAAGTACCACTGTATTCATGTAACTGCACGATGAGAGGGACATAAGGTACAAATTTCTTACCGCCTCTGCTGTACACGGCCTTTGCATATTCAGGGTGGTTAATGGACAGGAAAGCCAAGAAATTTCCATACCAACGTGGATAACAGTGCGGGTACTTTTCTGTCCATGCAGCTGCGTTCAGGAATTCTTCCTCAGGTTTCATCTGTATCAGTAACCAATTTACCGATTGTAATTAAATGTTTAGTTCAGGATGAAAACAGATAATCAGGTAATGTAATAGTGTATAACTTTCAGCTGGGATGCATATGTAACAAAGGAATAATTCACCCACTTGCCTCAATCCTAAAACCACAGTCTTATTAAACCTGTTTCTTTCTATTCTGCATTGGCCTCCCCTTATCAATTTCATTTCAGGCTCTCAGGTGTAGAAGAACACACACTGGTTGAACATGAATAAGCCATTGAACTATAAATGTTAACAAGAAAAAACAGCCACCAAAGAGTACATTTAGAAAAGCATTTTTTCCTGTTGGAATAAATTGAAACATTATACACAAAATTATAATATAATATTTATGCCTGAATCTGTGAATCATTCTTCAACTTTAGGTAAAATTGGATAAGAGAAACAGGTCCATCACAAATGCAAACTGTTGCATGCCAAATATGGGAGTCAGGGTTAGAGGCTGAATATGGAACTAGAGATCAGCATATTAGGGAGGCCACAATACGTGGCAATAACCTGTTCAAAATTTCAGCACTCCAACAGGAAAATGAAATGGATATAGATGTGAACCAAAGTCCACCTCCACCTGTAATCAATAAAGTTGTGGCCTTCCCCCCTCCCAAATTGTTGTCTTGTCAAGTATGTTCCTTTACACCGTAGCCATTGCCTTCACACAGTAGGGAGGGGGCTATGACTAGGCCCACAATGGCCATGTACGCTGCTCCTAGTGGGCAGCAGCTGTGGCCCTTGTTGTCGGTCCTCCATTCAGAAGGTGTCAGGAGTCACGTCCCAGTGACTAGCTAATGTAGATTCCTTGGACAAATCTAAAGTTCCAACTGTCCAATCATGTGCAGTCAGTGAGTGGAGCCCAGTCTGCTGAACCAGCACAGCCATCCCCAAGCCAGCTGCCTTGCAGATGCCAGCAGACTGAATGACAACATTAATGAGGCAGCACATTTGATAGAAAACATCCTTTCAGAATGTGACATGAAGCTGAGAAAACACTTGGCTGGATTCCTGTCATCACACAATATGAATTGGAACTGATGCTCAAGAAAGTAATTATTCTGTGTCACATCATAAAGTTTAAATCCACTGATTTCATCTATCTTTCTGTGTTCCTGATGTAGTCTTTGCATGCCAACAACAACAAAAACCAGATTTATCCCTGTTTATGGTTAGTCCTGCAACACTTCCCTAGTTTCTCAATAGCTTTGATAGTGTGGTAATAGCTTCACTTGTGGGTTTAAGAAAACAGCTATATCAGCAGTTAATAAGCTAATGCCATGAGCATGTTGCACAATCTTTGTATGACCCTTTTAACTTCATTTACCAATGCACTACACCAAATAAAGTTTCTTAGTTTCATAATGATTGCCTTACAGTTTAGGCACAACTGGATAGTGACTGGTAACACAACATTCAGTCAATTTTCAATTCCTTATTGAGAAACACAGTTTTGCAAAGAGAGACCCAACATCTCACCAGAAAAGTCAGAGATTCCCTTACCATGTGGATATGGCCATACAGCCAGTGGCTGGGAGGTCCTGGGAAACTCCTGAAACCCTTGATCAGTTTCTGCCTTGTCTGAAATAGCTGGATGGCTTTCAGAGCAATGCAGGTGAAGATCAATGCCACAGTCCAATAGAATAACTGAGAGGAATTCGCTGGTAGCCAGGACCACAAGATATTGATTACAATTTCCATAACCAGCTGCCTGCTGCTTGCTTTGCTCCAGTAGCTAGAATAAGTCCTCAAAAGGTTTGCTGTTTTGCTGGCTTTGTCTTGTGAGCTGCATCAAATTACTAAAACAACTTTGTGGCAGGTGTTGCTGCAGGAATCTGGGAACTATTTAAACCTCCACCCACACACTCTAATTAGTTTCACCCGCTGGGTGCTGAATCCTCCCCTTTTCCTCACTTCAGAGCTGGACCAGATCACTGTTATTGGGAAATGTTGTTTTAATTAACTGCATGCAGGGTAATATTGTACTTTATCAGTGGAAGTATTGGTACACCCAGAATTCACTGATATTCAAAGAAGATTTCAAGGAGGACTGATATAGAGAAGGGCAATTGATAGAGAAGAAAATATTCATTCGGTTTTACGTTTGCCTCTTATTTTGTGCAGTGTTTTTACTGAGCAATAGCAACTGCTTCCAGTTTGAATAAATGTTGTCAGCCAACCCCTGCTTGAGTTGGGCTTCCCTCATCATCTGCATGGACTGAATCCTATACTTCTGGAAAAGGGTCTATCAAGCCAGAGGCATCCCATGAACCAGTCTCCCCTCAGGAACTCCAAATCCAAATAACTTTATTGTACTAGCCATTGGCCATGACAAATCTGAATCAAAAATAAATTCAAGCAAAGGGTGTTGCGCCACAAATAATAATCTCTATTTATATCTCAGCATCTCCCTTTCAGTTCACTGCTATATCATCCAGTGTCTTCTTTCTGATCTTTTTGGCCACCAGAGCAAAAAGGGTGACTTTATGAATCACTGAAGCGTTTACATTGCTAAGAAACCATAGGACCTTCTCTGGTGGGGAGAGACAGCTTTCCTGTATGGACGGCAAGGTGAGGAATCACCTCCTGGGTCCAATGTATAGTGGGCAATACAGTCGTACCTTGGAAGTTGAACAGAATCCATTCTGGAAGTCCGTTCCACTTCCAAAATGTGCAAAAACCAAAGTGTGGCTTCTGATTAGCTGCAGGAAGCTCTTGTAGCCAATCAGAAGCTGCAGAAGCCCCACTGGACGTTCCACTTCCAAAAATAGTTCGTAAACCAGAACAGTCACTTCTGGGTTTGTGATGTTCAGGAGCCAAAGCTTTCAGGAACTAAGCTGCTCGACTTCCAAGATACGACTGTCCAGTAAATCTTCCACTTGCAGTTGCCCACATATACAGAGTGTGTCTTCGTATGGTACCCTGTTAAATCATCCATCTAGGATGACGGAGGGCATAGCTTGAAAATGCAGCTCAGGAAGGCCTTTCTCCTGGGCATGGTCGGCCAATTGGTGCCAAAGAAGGATAGAACTTTCTTTATGTATGCTACAACAGCAGCAAGAATACTTATCGCAAAGCATTGGAAGACACAAGATCTACCCACCCGGGAAGAATGGCAGATGAAGCTGATGGACTACATGGAATTGGCGGAAATGACTGGCAGAATCTGAGACCAGGGAGAAGAGTCGGTGGATGAAGATTGGAAAAAATTCAAAGTATATTTACAGAAATATTGCAAAATTAATGAATGTTAGAAGGATGCTGGAATGAAGTTATATGGCTTTAGCAGAAATGTTATAAAGAATTAAGTAAAAATAGATTGTTAATGGGCCAAAGTGGAAAATTTAAGGTTAGATTGTGTTAAGATAAATTATAGAACAAAAATTGAGAAAGATGGAAAGGATTTGCTGAAATAGCTAATTGAACTAGAATACAAAAAAGGGAGGTGTGAGGAGGTCGATGAAAAAAGTAAATGAAAGGTAAAGATACGGAAATATTAGATGTGTTTTTAAATGTTTTTGTTTTTCTTGTTGTTTTGCTGTATTGTTTTTTTGTTTTTCTTTTTATTTCTGATGTATTGTAAGATATTGTTTTGTTTTGTTTAACCTTTTATTGTTTCTTTCTTCTTTTTTCTGTAACTATTAAACCTCTAATAAATATCATTTAAAAAAAGAAAAGAAAAGAAAACGCAGCTCAGGAAAAGCAAATCTTAGTGAGTCTGGCTGGAGATTTGACAGGTAACTGGCTCTAAAATGGACCGTTTTTAGAAGAGGGAACCAAGTAGAGCATCTAGAGCAGGGGTTGTCAACCTGGTCCCTACCGCCCATTGCACTAGTGGGTGTTTCAGGATTCTAGGTGGGCGGTTGGGGGGTTCTACAGCACAAGCTGAATCCTCCTTCCATCAAGCACTGGTGGGTGGTAAGGAAATTTTACCTTCAAGAAAGATGCATTCGTGGGTGGTAGGTATAAAAAGGTTGACTACCTCTGATTTAGAGGATTTGATCGCTTGCAAATCACGTAGTGATTCTATCCAGTAGCACCATTCCTTAATTGGTGTTTGTCTGTGGATATAATCTCCTCTATTTTATAGAAATGATAAGAGTTCAAATAGCATTAGATGTTCAAGAACTGAAGTCTTTATACTGGTAGCCACAAATTCCCAATACTGATAGGGGACATAATTTCCATTTAATGAAAAACTGAAACAATTCACAGTTTCTGAAATGATACCAAAACCGTCCCCAGATGATGTTGGATCACAACTCCCATAATCTTCCACCATCTTAGTCAATGGTCAAGGATGATGGGAGTTGTAGTCCAACAACTTCTGGCTACCCAAGGTGGAAAAGAGCACTGCTCTAGGTTTGGTTGGAGGAAGTTAGCAGCTTGGAGCTATTCGCGGCCCTGCTATTGGACTAAGCCATGGGCTCCCAGCTGAGGTTAGGTTAGCTCAAGAAAGTAAAAATACATGGGATATATCTAAAATGCCTGCTCCCCGCTTAAAACAGGGGGCGCCCTTTGCGTGGACGTGCGCAGCCCCTAGATCTGGAGCGGCTTCATCAGCATAGGCTTGGCTTTGCCTTCCCTCAGGTGGGATACCTGGAGGTCTCCGCCTACCTCAGTCAGTTGTCCAATCCCACCTGGGGGAAGCGTTGCCAAGGAGACCAGGCCAGGTAGGGGAGGGATTACCTGCCCACACAATAGAGGGAGGATCTTACCTGGGAATCCTCACTTGGCTCCAGAGCTTCTAAAAACTTTTTGGAAATGATATGAATTGAAAAACATGTTTAAAATGACTTTTGTAAAAAACAAACAAACCCAGAAGCCTTTTTGCTAGGCATTTCAGGTCAAGAGCTACTGAAAGAAAAGTTGAAAATATTCTTGTATGCTACCACAGCGGCAAGAATCTTATTAGCCCAAGGTTGGAAGACTGAAGAAGTACCAACAAAAGAACAAGGGCAAGAAAAACTGATGAACTATGCAGAATTAGCAAAGTTAACAGATAAATTGCACGAAAAGGACAATAGAGACTTTTAAAATGAATGGGAATCTTTTATAACCTATTTACAAAAGCAACATAAAGAAATGGACTCATTGGTAGGTTTTGAAAAAACATCCACAAATTTATTTAATTAAAACATGGAGGAAGACATTGTAATAACATTTAAAGTACATTAACATGCAGAAGGTAACTTTTTTTTTTGTAACAAACCAGAAAGGGAAGATGAGGGAAGTCACAGGGGAGGGGAGAATGTAAAATTGGATAATTGCTATTCGTAATTTGTTATGAAAGAGGATATTCAATAAAATATTTATTTTTTTAAGAAGAACATTATAGTGTAATGGACAAAGGAAGGAGCCCAAATAAGTGATGCTCAAAGTAAAACTTTGAAACCCATGGACTTAAGTTAATCCAGTAAATTTATTTCCATGATTCTGAATATGATCTGGTAGGATAAAAGAAAGCATGTTGGGTTGAGAATGTAAAAGCGATTACTGAACATTTCTGTAGAAATTTCTTCTGTAGAAGTGTACTGCATAATATTAATATTCATAGTGCCTTCCAATATTTATTGGCAGGAATTGAGTGCTGAAGCAAGCATTACTACTGTGGTAACAGCAAGCATCAGCGGAGAGCCTTCAGCTTCAGATATATCCCATTCATGGATCGGGTGACAATTTGCGGCATGGGAATCGGGAGGTTGGCAGGATCAGGAAAAAGCTCAAAGTGCAGGAGTGTCAATGCAAGAGCAACCTTCATCTCATTCATGGCAAACTGCTGTCCAATGCAGTTCCTGAGTAGAATAAAGGGCAACATTACATTGTGAACAGAAGAGCATTCTGCGATGGTCAAATCAGGGCCTTTTCAGTTGTTGCTCCTTCACTTTTAGATTTCCCTTCCCAGAAATGAATATCTGGCACCATCTTTGTTCTCCTTCATATTCCCAACCCCTTTAGGCATTTGAGCATATATTGCCTTATGCTGGCAGTTAATTCTGCTTTGCTGTGGACTCATCCACAATTTTATAAGCCTTGAACACAGTTGTGTCTTTCATGGAATATTAATGTCAAAGTGTCCTGTTATGGAGGAAACAGTGCAAAATATAGGTGAGAAAATATTTACCTTGGCCCTGCAGCAAAAGGCAAGAAAGCATATGGGTGGCGATGCTTTGAATTCTCTGTGGAGAATCTTAGAGGATTAAACTCCTACAACAGAAAATAAGTCATGGAACTTTGTATTAGTATGGCAACAGATATAGTGGCAAAAGAGCTAAAGGAAAAAGGGGCATTCACAAAAAAGAATACTATTCTATACCCACTTACTGGGTCATAATACCCATTGCACTCCATGGGGCTTAGTTCTGTGTAGGATTATAGGACTACACTCATAGCAATATGTTTTACCCAGTGTAATCTGAAGGAAAATTCCTTGACATCTATAAATGCCTGGGCCAAATGAGACATATTTGTAAATGCCCAGGCCAAATGAGACATATCTATAAATGCCTGGGCCAAACGAGACAAATCTATAAATGCCTGGTCCAAATGAGACATGATGTTAATTGCATCAGTGTGCATGTTTTTAAAACTGTACACAGCCATTGGAGTGTCTGACCAGCAACAGGCCTGCAGGGCTTGGGAGGGAAATGCTAACCTTTCCCCCCTGCTGTGGTGCTGATGTTGCTCCTGAAGTTGCTCTTTGAATGGAGAGGAAGCCTACACAGATTTTGTAAGCAGCACTTTAGGGACTGGTGGGTGGGTGGATTTTGGCAGAATACTTCCACAGCTCCTGACGTGGATTAGGAATGTTTTCTGGATTAGGATTCTACAGCAGCTTTGCCAATATATTTTTGCAATGGTTTTCTTTTCGCAATAGATCTTTGCCATTTTGTAAGTGCTTAAACAACATTTTAAGAATCATAACTACATAATATGTGGCCTGTCCTTCTGCTTAATTAGTACAGTATCTTCCTCATACTGTTCTTATCCAATTCTGTAGAGGGACACACTAAGCTTGACATCAGAGTGTTTGAAGATATATCCAAACATTTTTCTTTTGCTAAGAGCTGCTGGCAGGAAAGGGATTTGGATCAGAGTCATGGCGTAGGGAGTAATTTAGCTCTACATGCGCACAGAAACACACACAGAGACACAAACACTTTCACCAGCATCTCTCTCTCATGCACACACTCTAGAGCTGGTAGTATCCACATAAGGAAACGCAGGCATCACTTGTGTTTATCTGTTTCTGCTCCACACCTAATATCATACCAGGGGGTAGTTTTTTTGGTATTAGGCCATTGATATGAGGCAATGGACTAAATCAGCCTTTCTCACCTCCAAACTGGAATACGTCCGGATGCGTTTAGTAAGGTAAAACAAGCAAGAAACTGGTAAAACAAAACACTGGGATAAATCCACACATCTAGTCAAACAGTGTTAGTGTGACAAACAATTGGCCTCTTTTCTTAAAGAAATTGTATGTGTCTATGGCAATTATTCCACCATCTTTTTCTCAAAACATGTCAACTTCTCTCAGTCTCGCCAGAAAGGTCTTGCTTAGGCTTTTCTTCTTTTATTATTACCTCAGGATTGTCCCAAATCTCAGGATTTCTGTGAAGACCATAAACATCCAATGCAGCTAGAAAGCCTGTGAAAATAAGAGACACATCATCTACTATCATTTCATCAGCAGTGATATTATGTAATGAGAATTAATTGCTATCCAGTGGCATTTACCAAAACATTCATTCTCAATAACTTGCTGCAAAGAGAGGCAGATTTTCAGAGTTGTTGCACTGGTAACCAGGATGATCCTGCACAGAGTACAGGAAGGCAGCTGGAAAGCATACGACTGTGCTTTCCTGGTCATGTAATATTTGTTTGTTTGCCCAAGGAATTCATTTAGGTGTAGGTGGGGCCTCAAGAGATGGTCCATCTAAGGCCTAGCAGCTCCAGAAATTGTCCCTCTGAACACAGGGGCTGTGTACCTCTGTGTAGGCATGCACACCTGTATGTGTCCTCCACGTATTCCCTGTGTGCACGGATGTGAGTGTGTGCATGCAAGAGTGTGGGGTGGCTGCATCACAGTTGGCAGGGTGAATGTGGACCACAAAAGGTTAGCCACTCTTGATGGAAGTTAAGTGACAGTGGAACTGAATAATGAGAACAGTGTAAGAATGAAGATGGAAGAGGAAGGGACGAGTTCAAAGGAAGTCTGCAGAAGGGAGAGACGGGAAACCTACCTTTTGGTAAGGTTCGTCCATCAGCAAAAGTCACAGGAGAATTCAGTTCTCGTGCTATAAGAGGTACTGGAGGATAAAGCCGAAGGCTCTCCTTAATGCACATGGTGCTGTACGTCATCTTTCCCAAGTCGTCCCTTAAAGACACCGCCCAAAATTACTGGAGTTAAGTCGCATAAAGTTTTATTAAGATGAAGGAAAAAGGAGACAGGGTGGAATCCAGTACCTACGCTTTCCTTGCTCAATACAAGTGTTGGGGAGAGGGAGAAATTTGATTCAGTTCCTATTTAAAGGTGAACTTACCTTACTCACACTTTCTGGAACAAGATGTGAACTGAACACAGCCACCCTTCATAATTTGCACTTCTCCAGCCAAATAACAAGTGCAAAAATGCACATGCTAGCTTAAAGCATGCATGGAGATGCATATATTAGTGAATATCTGTGCTTTTAGGGCTGTTTTTAGCAGGGTTATGCACTTCTTTTTTTAAAAAAAAACATTTATATTGACTGTGGGGGTTTTAAGTGTATTCATTTTAATTTATTCTGTTAGCCACCTTGTTTCTTATAGCGTGAGAAAGGCAGTAAATAAGTTAAATGATTGATTGAATGAAATACAGGATACAAAACTGGTGTGGGTTTTTTTATTGTTATGGGAAATAAAACCATGCAGGAAGTCTACCTGGAAAGCAAATCATGCAGGAATCCCACCTGAATAGAGGAGGCTCCCCTCTTTTGAAGTTATCAGGACATTAGAGATCAGGCGTATTGGTGGGCTCAGTCCACAGCCCATCTCTTGTAACTGTGTTACCTCTTCATGCAAGTAATGGGTGAGGGAGGCTAATTGTGTCCTACTTTTTGAAGAGCTGTCTCTTTTTGATAATAGATTTTGATTTTTGCAGTATTTTTGGTGATACAAACATGACCGCACTAGCTACAGTACATCCGTGCAGCAGCCAAAGCAGTGATTTAAATATAGAAATAGAAATCAGAGCTTCTTTTCCTACAGTATAGGACTGGCCCATCTTCCCTGGAACTTACTCAACCTGAGGCCTGTGGTCAGACTACTATGATCCTAAACTACTCTGCAGTATTGCTCTCCTTCAGAAACCTCATAACATGACCCAGAAAATAAACATTTAAAGTTGAACAAGAATTTAGTCTGACCATTGTATCTCCTCCTGTTGCCCAAGAAGCTCCATGATCTCCTCTCTGCATCTCTGCTGATGTTCAGGGTTCTGGGCCATACAATAAAAGAGCCAAGAGATTCCACTAGCTGTGGTATCATGACCTTCGAACATGAATGTGTCCACTTCTGCACGTATGTCTTCATCTGACAATGGATTTCCATTTTCATCCTAACCGCACAGGGAAAATAGTGTTTTATAGGATTAGTGAGATCCAATACTTAAAGTTCTCCTAGACCCTCCTCCCTCTCCCAGCTCACATCAAAGAAGGGGGAGGTGCTTCCAAAAGCGGTTTGCCAAGCTGCTCTCTGAAGCACCACCCCCTCAATTAAACAGCTCACCTGGGCCACCTGCCACCCATGGTGCTTGCTCACTCACGTGCCCACCATCCATTCTGCCATAATGCTGGAGTTAACATGGCCACCTGTCAGCAGCCACACAAACTCCAGTGTGATGACAGCTTTACAATTTTATGTATATATTGCAGACCATGGGATTTTGCTTGGGCTATGTCATCTGAACATTATAGTGATGGCAAGAAAAGCCCTTAGCAATATAGCATGGCAGGCATAGGTGCATTATTTCTACAATGTCCACCTTTGCGCAAAGAAGAATATCCAGGAAGTCCAAATGCCTCTTCTTCAGAATCTTTTCAAGCTCTTTCTCATTCTTGAGGGAATCCTTCCTCTCTCTTATTACCTTCTCTGCATTGAAAACAAACAGTATGAAATGAATAAAGCTATGTGTAAGAGGCAAGCAAATATATTCAACCTTTTTAGTTTTCTCATTTCTCTAACTTTCCTAATAAGTCCATGTGTTACTAATCATTTAACCCATATTAAATTGTTTTTTAATTTTTTCTTCTTTTCACACCTACGTTTTATATGCCCTTAGTACATCATACCGACACTGTTACAATTTTTAATTTTCCTAATGGTACTGAAACAGTATGTTTTTGCTTTTGAATTTTCTATTATGAAATAAATTTATATATTAGCTCAGAAGAAGAAGAGGAGGGAGACGAGGAGGAAGAAGAAGTTGTTGCCAAGGAGTAAAAGATACATACCTGTGTGATGGTGGGCTATTTTGCAAGCTTTGTAAAACTGACGCCCTTTGGAAGTCAACCGGTAAATGAGATCATTGTGATGCCAAGGTGTTTTCAGTCTCTGATAGAACAGGAAGCTGAGATCAAATACAGTTTGAATGTAGGAATTATCTCTGTGGACAGTAGGAAAGTGGAAACAAATATAAGCACAAAATGAAGACAAAAAAGGTTAGATGACATGTTTCTTAAAAGTCCCATTTCTAGATCCATTTCTATTTGAGATCGGAGGTAGGGATGAGTGGCATTGTTTTGTAGTGGTTCCACTCTTCTTCAATGGTTGTTTCCAGAGGGTGATGCTTGGGGAGTTCTTCTCAGCTCCACAGAGCCTTTAATGTGGGGTTCATCAGGGTTGAATTTTATCCCCCACAACATCTGCATGACACTCCTGAGTGGAGTTATCCAGAGTTTTGGAATATGTTGTCAGCAATATGCTGATTAAACACAGTTCTGCTTCTCCTTTACAGCTGCAGGTGTGGCAGTGACATTAATGCCTTGGTATGAGCACCAAGAAATTGAAGCTCAATCCAGATAAGACTGAAGCACTGTTAGTGAGTGGTTCCTTGGACTGGATGGATGGGAGGCTGTGTGCTCTTGATGGGTTACACGCCCTCTGAAGGAACGGATACATAATTTTGCGGTATTTCTGGATCATTTGCTGTCATTTGAGGCCTACGTGGCATCAGTGGCAAGGTATTCCTTCCATCAACTTCGGCTAGTGGCCTAGCTGTATCCCTATCTGGATACACAACTTCTGTTGTGTATACTTTGGTAACCTCTATGTTATAATATTGCAACACGTTATATATATGTCTACCTCTGAAGAAAGCTCGGAAACTTCAGCTGGTGCAGAATTCAGCACAAGGACAAGATGGTTTGAGCATGTTACACCTGACTACAATGGCTACCAATTAGTTTCTGATTACCTACTCTCTTCCAAGGTGAGCTAAGCCTGGCAGGACAGCTTACGTTATGGTCTTAACCCCTTCATGCATTAATTAGATCCAAGCATGCTGGTTATGTGAGGCTGGTTATCCCACAATAAGGTCAAACAAATTGGTCCAGGGGCTAGAGGAAGGAACCCCAGGGCCATCCGTTGAAGCCGACAGTTGGAAGATTCATCACAGACTAAAGAAACTATTTCTTCGCACAGTTAAACTATAGAATTTGCTCACGAAAGATGTAGTGATAGCCATCATCCTGAATGGCTTCATTAACCATATGCAGATTGCAGAGGTGTTTGCAACCTTGGGCTTGCTTCTCATGTCACTGCTAGCCCATGGCACAAAAAAGAAAGACTGTATCAGCCTGTGGCTCCCACCTTGCCTTAAATTGGCATCTTATACTCACCTGTCAATTTCAGCATTTTTCTGATAGCTGAAGGCACATTTCATAATAGTATCAAGAGTCATCAGACTGACATGTTCGAACATCTCCACTGATGCTGTGCCATTCTTTGGTTCCAGCTTTCCCCATGTATCCTAATGTTTTAGGAAAGGGACAGAAATGAGAAGTCTCATTCTGGGGAAGTCTCTAGAATGATTAAATGATTCATTATTAGATACTGGAACAATATATGATCTGCTGTGGTCAATATATGAAAACTTTAGATTTTCAAGTACATCAGTGGCTGCCCAACTATGGATTTTGCTTGTTAATTGCTGAATAAGTTATATTTATTTTCTGAGGTGCTTTGATTATTTCTTATTCTGGGTCCTTTCATGTACTCACATCACTGAAGGTGAAATTGCACATTACAAGGTAATGACAGTGATCCTTACCCCATAATACTAAGGCATGGCATGGCAGAGAGCATTTCCAAAGGAGAATCATTGGCTGAGAAGTACAGGTGCTTAACCCTTTCCCCATACATCAGTTTGCCTAGACCCCTCCTAGCAGTGGAGGCTAGTTCATTAGGATGACTGGAGGACTGTCCCATCAACCTCAGGGTGACCCCACCCACGTGCCTTTTTACGTATAACCAGTCAAAGGCATGCCTGTGTCTTTAGCCTCAGTGTTGCATTTCTAGAACTCGGCATGGAGTAAGATTAGTTGGCTCTGCCTGTCATTTGCTCTGGCTCCACTTATTTTTGACCACCCTGCCTTCTACCCTCCTGGTCGCAATGTGCATCAGCCACCACTGTCTGCTGGGCAGTTTCCTCTACTGGCTCGTAAGCCTAGTTCAGGAACACACATAAAGCCTGTGGGGAGGAAATGTGGGGAAGAATGAAGAGGCGTGAGACAGAATTGAGCATTCTCCATGCTGCCCATTAACTTTCCCCTGCAAATGATCCTTGCATTTGGGAAATGGTTTTGCTAAGATTATGTGCGGCTGTCCTCTGAGAGAGACTCGACTGTGTGCTTCAGGATTGGGTAGCTGAATGTGTTCCCTGAAACAAGGTTAGGAGATTATCAGGAGCTAATGAACTGATCATTAATACACAGGACTAAAAAGGAAAGGGTGATAGCAGGCATTCCAGTCAAAAACACTGTCTGCAAACGTAAACACAGTTTTGACATACAATTCTAGCTAATACAACACTGCACAACCCTTCAAAGTGATGCATTTTAATATTCCACAAAGAAAGCTAATGGTAGTCAGCATCTGTCTGTCCTGAAAATGTGGATGAACTAATTAAGACAATATCAAGTGTCACAGGTTATGAAGGAATTTTAGAATTCAATACTGCTGCAAACTCATTGCCTGCGACCCAAAGGGCTGCTCAACTAGCTTCACACTTTGGTGGGGGCTTCTGACTCAAACTTTCCCAAAAAATCTTTGTGGTGTATCAGAGGAGGTTTTCAGGTCAAAGAAAAATAAAAATTTAAAGGCCCTCTGAGTCTGCTCAAAGCAGGACTGAGATCATGAAGGTGGATGAGCAACTTCTTAGACTGGAGCTGACCTCCTGAAAGTAGCAATGGGGTTTCTTACCAGCATCTCCTTGACTGATTCTGCCATAAGAGTCACATAAGGCTTCAGAATATTGTAATGGAATCCGGGAGTCAGCAGTTTCCGGTGCTGCTGCCACTTTGGCCCATTCAGGATGAGAAGCCCCCTTCCTGCCAGGAAAAGGAAGGAAAATGAGGAACAGAAGCCCAAGATAATGTTGTCTTTCTTAGGCACATACACCAGGGTCAGGGTCACATGGAAAATTATCCACCACAGATGACAGGGTTTATAGTAGAAGGATCCCCCCAGCACTATATATGACCCATTGAAGTAGGCATTTAATTGCTGGAATAATTCAAGTTAAGAATCTATTTACCTACTAAAGGATTTCTGAAACATGGAATGCAGTGTGTATATTTCCTTACAATCCGAGAAGTCCTTCTTCATAGACTCTATAAGGACAGACTTTTGAGATTGTAGGGAAACATACTATAGAGTCTGATTCCTGAGCAAAATGGGCAGAAATCAGTTGGCCAGAGGAATAAAGCTGGCACTAAAGCCTCCTGGAAGGCACCAGTGGGGAAGGCACCAGCTTAACAAATACTAGCAGCTTCCCAAAGTTTGAACTTTGAAAGCTGAGAATATATGTATATGCTCGAGGCAAGAATATCACAGAAAATATAAGGGTGCATAAATTAGTGAGAGAAAATACATACCAATCCATGGAATTAGGAAGCTGTATGTTACAAGAGATTTAGGATCTGAATAGTGTGATAAATGAGAGAAAATGAGCTTAGCATGAGATGGTAAAAAACTATTTGTGAGAACAAATTTAAATGTTTAATTTGCTAAATTGTACTCTGTTGCCTGAATCTAGGGGATTCCTATGGGCACCCAGAGCTCCCTCACTTGCCTCTCCTTGCTTTTCAGCAGCCAGATCCAAGGCACACTCCCACATTGTTGCACATGTAAATAAAGACAGACAACCTTTTCCTTGTCCAGCTTACTCCAAGGTGTGACCATTTTCCTGACCAGCCTTGGGGACTCCAGCCATTTGTTGGGCAAATAGTTGTGCTTCCCCCAATTTCCAAAATGAAATATCCAGTTCTCTAATGTACTTTTTGAATTTTGTAGTCTGCTGTGTGCCTTCTCTACCAATCTGATCTGAGTATTAAAGACTTGGGTAGAACTAGAGCTGGGAGCTGGGAGTTCTTTGCCTGGCAGTGAGGGACTGATGGGAGTTGGAGTTCAAAACATCTTGAAGGCATCAGGTTGGGGAAGGTTGCTTTAGGATGCCCTTGAAATATGAATCACTTACATTTATTTCTTGCCTTACAAAGAGCAATGCAACTTACTGCATGAATAATTTTGACAGCCTCCAGCATACTCATGTAACTGCACAATGAGAGGGACATAAGATACACATTTCTTACCGCCTCTGCTGTACACGGTCTTTGCATATTCGGGGTGGTTGATGCACAGGAAAGCCAAGAAATTTCCATACCAACGTGGATAACAGTGCGGGTACTTTTCTGTCCATGCAGCTGCGTTCAGGAATTCTTCTTCAGGTTTCATCTGTATCGGTAACCAGTTTACATCTTAGTTATTGTGATTAAATGTTTAGTTCAGGATGAAAACAGATAATCAGGTAATGTAATAGTGTATAACTTTCAGCTGGGATGCATATGTAACAAAGGAATAATTCACCCACTTGCCTCAATCCTAAAACCACAGTCTTTTTAAACTTGTTTCTTTCTATTCTGCATTGGCCTCCCCTTATCAATTTCATCTCAGACTCTCAGGTGTAGAAGAACACACACTGGTTGAGCATGAATAAGCCATTGAACTATAAATGTTAAGGAGGGGGGGAAACAGCCACCAAAGAGTACATTTAGAAAAGCATTTTTTCCTGTTGGAATAAATTGAAACATTATACATAAAATTATAATATAATATTTATGCCTGAATCTGTGAATCATTCTTCAACTTTAGGTAAAATTGGACAAGAGAAACAGGTCCATCACAAATGCAAACTGTTGCATGCCAAATATGGGAGTCAGGGAGTAGAGGTTGAATATGGAATTAGAGATCAGCATATTAGGGAGGCCACAATACGTGGCAATACCCTGTTCAAAATTTCAGCACTCCAACAGGAAAATGAAATGGATATAGATGTGAACCAAAGTCTACCTACACCTGTAATCAATAAAGTTGTGGCCTTCCCCCCTCCCAAATTGTTGTCTTGTCAAGTATGTTCCATTACACCATAGCCATTGCCTTCACACAGTAGGGGGGGCTATGACTAGGCCCACAATGGCCATGTACGCTGCTCCTAGTGGGCGGCAGTTGCAAGCCCTTGTTGGCGGTCCTCCATTCAGAAGGTGCCAGGAGTCACGTCCCAGTGACTAGCTAATGTAGATTCCTTGGACAAATCTAAAGTTCCAACTGTCCAATCATGTGCAGCCAGTGAGTGGAGCCCAGTCTGCTGAACCAGCACAGCCATCCCCAAGCCTTGCAGATGCCAGCAGACTGAATGACAACATTAATGAAGCAGCACATTTGATAGAAAATATCCTTTCAGAATGTGACATGAAGCTGAGAAAACACTTGGCTGGATTCCTGTCATCACACAATATGAATTGGAACTGATGCTCAAGAAAGTAATTATTCTGTGTCACATCATAAAGTTTAAATCCACTGATTTCATCTATCTTTCTGTGTTCCTGATGTAGTCTTTGCATGCCAACAACAACAAAAACCAGATTTATCCTTGTTTATGGTGAGTCCTGCAACACTTCCCAAGTTTGTCTATAGCTTTGATAGTGTGGTAATAGCTTCACTTGTGGATATAAGAAAACAGCTATATCATCAGTAAATGCAATTTTACAAAGAGAGACCCAACATCTCACCAGGAGAGTCAGAAATTCCCTTACCATGTGGACATGGCCATACAGCCAGTGGCTGGGAGGTCCTGGGAAACTCCTGAAACCCTTGATCAGTTTCTGCCTTGTCTGAAATAGCTGGATGGCTTTCAGAGCAATGCAGGTGAAGATCAATGCCACAGTCCAATAGAAAAACCGAGAGGGACTCGCCGGTAGCCAGGACCACAAGAGATTGATGACAATTTCCATAGCCAGCTGCCTGCTGCTTGCTTTGCTCCAGTAGCTAGAGTAAGTCCTCAAAAGGTTTGCTGTTTTGCTGGCTTTGTCTTGTGAGCTGCATCAAATTACTAAAACAACTTTGTGGCAGGTGTTGCTGCAGGAATCTGGAAACTGTTTAAACCTCCACCCACACACTCTAATTAGTTTCACCCGCTGGGTGCTGAATCCTCCCCTTTTCCTCACTTCAGAGCTGGACCAGATCACTGTTATTGGGAAATGTTGTTTTAATTAACTGTATGCAGGGTAATAATGTACTTTATCAGTGGAAGTATTTGGTATACCCAGAATTCACTGATATTCAAAGAAGATATCACAGTGACTTCAGGGAGGACTGATATAGAGAAGGGCATTTGATAGGAATGACCTCTTCCCGCTTAAAACGGGGGGCGCCCTTTGCGTGGACGCGCGCAGCCCCTAGATCTGGAGCGGCTCCATCAGCATAGGCTTGGCTTTGCCTTCCCTCAGGTGGGATACCTGGAGGTCTCCGCCTACCTCAGTCAGTTGTCCAATCCCACCTGGGAGAAGCGTTGCCAAGGAGACCAGGCCAGGCAAGGGAGGGATTACCTGCCCACACAATAGAGGGAGGATCTTACCTGGGAATCCTCACTTGGCTCCAGAGCTTCTCCCACCCTGCCCACCCTCAGTTAATGTCTTATTTTGCAGGTTAACTTTTCTTCACAGGTTTTGCAGGTTAACTTTTCTTCGCAGGTATGTGGGCGCTGCTACGTTAAGGTCACTGTTAAAGGGACAGAAAGGAATTTCCCTGCATTGGCAGGTTTCGCCTTTCCCGTAGCAAAACGTCACAACTTTGGAGGTATCACGCCTTGGGCGGAATCCTTTAGTCCATCTTCCTCTTTGCGGCGGCGATACCAGGGTTCCCCATTAAAGGGGGTTTCTGAAGGGAGGCTTTGACCGTACGCCGAAAGGTCGTCATTGCTCTCCCCTGCGGCGGCGGCGTAACGGGGGTGGCTATCTCTGCTTGAACATATGTTCTCCAGAGCCGGCCCATCCCCCCCACACACACTGGATAACCCTGATGCTCCCTAGGTCCCCGGCTGGGGACTGGGGAGGGAGAACGCCCAATGCCTGAGCCAAGGTCTACCCACATTTGAAATTTAATAAAGTTGTGGCCAATTTAATCCCATAGCACGTTGTCTTGAGTCATTATTCCACATGACGGGGGGACGACCGCTCGGGATCTGGGGACTCCGCCTGTCCACGCAAAGAAAATATGTTTTCGGTTTTACGTTTGCCTCATATTTTGTTCCATGTTTCTACTGAGGAATAGCAACTTCTTCCAGTTTGAATAAATGTTGTCCGTCAACCCCTGCTTCAGTTGGGCTTCCCTCATCATCTGCATGGACTGAATCCTATACTTCTGGAAAATGGCCTATCAAGCCAGAGGCATCTCCTGAACCAGTCTTCTCTCAGGAACTGAAGTCTTTATACCAGTAGCTGCAAATTCCCCAATAGTGACAGGGGACATATTGGATTCAATTTCTGTTTTGTTGTTGTTGTTGTTTTTAAAATTCAAACAATAAAATACAAGAAACAAAGCACATTATTCAAAATTTGCCCGTCTCCGAATTTTGTGGTGTAGTTCTCCAACATACACTGCATGTATTTGGGAAAATGAAACCAAACAACACATTCTATTAATGACATTGCTTTGCAAAAATATGCTTTGGGTCCCCAGATGATGTTTGCCCACAACTCCCATATAATTTTCCACCATCTTAGTCAATGGTCAGGGATGATGGGAGTTATGGGCCAACAACATCTGGGGCTCAAGGTGGAAAAGAGCACTGCTCTGCGTTTGGTTGAAGTAAGTTAGCAGCTTGGAGCTCTTCAAGACCTGCTACTGGACTAAGCTATGGATTCCCAGCTGGGGTTAGGTTAAGTTAGCTCAAGAAAGGAAAAATGCATGGGTTATATCTAAAAAGTGTCTCCTTTTCTATAAAATTATTGTTTTAGTCATATGGTAGTTTGTGTAAATTTAGATTGCTTAGTTAACCTTTTTAAAAAAATGGTTAATACAGTCATACCTCATGTTACGTCCGCTTCATGTTACGTTCTTTCAGGTTACATCCCGCGGCGACCCGGAAGTACCGGAAAGTGTTACTTCCAGGTTTCGCTGCTTGCGCATGCACAGAAGCGCAAAATAACATCATGTGCATGCACAGAAGCGGCGAATCACAACCCGCATGTGCGTAGACACGCCGCTGTTTGTTGCGCTCTTTTCATGTTGCGAAGGGGCCTCCGGAACGGATCCCGTTCGCAAACAGAGGTACCACTGTACATTTCCGTAAGTTGTACAAGAAGTCAATGTGATAATTTTTCTTATTTGCAACGTCTAGATTTATTATTCATTCTTCTCTTATCACAGTAATTTATATTCCATAGTTCAGGAAATCAGTATTTCCAAGAAGGCTTACAATTAAATTACATATTTAATAGCTACAACAAATATTTGTTACATATTTAAAAGTCACGTAGAAGACATGTAAAGGTAGCCCTGTACAGGGAAGTTTTTATTGATAGATGTTTTATTATGCTTCTGTATATGCTGGAAGCTGCCCAGAGAGGCTGGGGTGACCTAGTCTGATAGGTGGGTACAATTCTTTTCTTTCTTTCTTCTTTCTTCTTATATAAGCTTTATGTTAGATTATTGTGACATGTTATATATAGGGTGTATCTCTGAATACAGTTACAGTAGCTTCAGCCTGTGCTCACCAGGTTGCAACCATATTGCAGCAATCCAGGCCTGACTGAACTGGCTGCCGATTAGTTTGGGATTACCTAGTCCCTCCCAATGTGAGCTAAGCCTCGCAGGACAGCTAACATTATGGCTTTAACCACTTCATGTATTAATCAGATTTAAGCATGCTAGTTATATGAGGCTAGTCATCCCACAATAAGGATAAACAATTGGGTCCAGGGGCTAGAGGAAGGAACCCAGGCCCATCCATTGAAGCTGACTGTTGGAAGATTCATCACAGAAAAAAGAAAGTATTTCTTCACACAGTTAAACTATAGAATTTACTCCCCAAGATGTAATGAAGGCCATCATTCTGAATGGCATCCGTAGCCATATGCAGATTGCAGAGCTGACTGCAACCGTGGGTTTGCTTCTCATGCCACAGCTGGTGCATGGCACAGGAAAAAAAAGACTGTATCTGCATGGAGCTGCCACCTTGTCTGAAATAGGCATCTTATACTGACCTACAGCAGCTTCCTGTAGACCCAAAAGCAGTTTGAACTTTGAATGCTGGGCATATATGTATATGCTGGATGCAAGAATATCACAGTAACTACAGGGATGCATAAAAGAAGTGAAAGAAAATACAGGCCAATCCATTGAATTGGGAAGCTGTATATTGCAAGAGATTAAGGAACTGAATAGTTTAATGAGAGAAGACGAGGTTAGCATGACATGGTAAACAGTATTTGTAAGAACACACTTAAATGCTTTGCTAAATTACACTATGTTGCCTCATTCTGGGCGATTCCTATGGGCACTCAGAGCTCCCTCATTTGCTTTTCTTTGCTTTTCAGCAGCCAGATCCAATGCACACTCCCACATCTTTGCAAATGCAAGTTAAGACAAACAACCTTTGCAGGCCCAGCTTACTTCAAGCTGTGCCCAGTTCTTTGCCCAGCCTTGGGGACTCTGGCCATTTATGGGAGAAATAGTTGCGCTCCCCACACTTTCCCAAAGGAAGTATCCAAGTCTCTTATGTACCTGTTGAACCTTGTAGCCTGTAATGGGCTTTATCGGACTTCCGGGTCAGCGCCATCGGTGAATGGCGGAGTTCCTCCGATCGGAGGAACGAGCTCCTTAGAAACTGGGTCTTCCCGCCGCGGCGAAGGTGGGGACCCGCTAGAAATCCCAGGCGGAGGAAGCCTGGGAACGTGGGGTTCGGCAGGGCACCAGGAGCCCCTTTTTGGGGCGCCGGAGCGAAGTGGGGTGAGTGGCGCGGTGCTGCGAACTGATTGCTATTTTTACGGAGTGAAGCCGCACAGCCATTGCCGGAGAGCGCTGACTTTTCCTGTGGACAATTGGATTCAAAACAAGTACCCGTGAGTAGAAACGGAAAATTGGATCAAGAAATATCTTAATTTGGCATCGAAGCGGGAAGGTTCAAAACAGGAAGTCTGCCTTCCGCTTTTTGTATATAGACTAAAGCAAAAATTTTGTAAGCTAAAGCCTGGAAAGCCGTGAAAAAAGTCTAATTTCCTTCATTTATAATTACTGAAACCCCCTTGGAAGTAGGAGAAAAGGGGGGAGAACTTTGTTTAACCCCTGCAGGAGAGGGAGTGAAGAAGGATAAACTTCCACCGTCTCTAACCTGGGAACGGGGTGTCAGAGACAGAAAAAGTTGGAAAGGTTCATTGACTGTGAATGGAACATTTTGACAGATAGCTAAAGAAGAGAAATAGACTGATTCCAATGTTGCCTTTTGCATTCTAAAGAAACAAAATATCTGAAAAATCTCTGAAAAATGAAAGTAATTTTCCTTTGTTGGACTTGCCTTAAAAAATGGATACAAATAGAAATTGTCTCCCCTAGAGGGAGCTTGTTAAATTGTTGCTGCAGTTTACTTGAGGACTCAACAGCTGTGAGATTAAGATCGTGGGACCAGTCTTTTCTGACCTTGACTAAAGATGAGCTGGGAAGAAGATTGGGTGCTTGCTTTATGCAAGACAAGTGCCTTGCTGGAACAGATGCATGAGAAGATGGATTTGATGAATGAGAAAATGGACTTGATGACTGTTGTGGTTAACAACTGTGGACAAACAGGGAATATTGATACAGAAACCATTCAGGGACCAACTCATGAACCTGTACTGACTGGGCAAGTGCAGAAGATAATGGAGGAGGATGCGGTTGCACCTCAAATAATACAAATGGAGAAACCCGAGGCCCTACAGGAGTATAAGCCGCTGTCATTGAAGATTGAAGTTGGAGTGGGCCAGGGGGAGTCTGGAGCTGAGGAGGGTCCTAACTTTGGAGAGACCTTGAAATATGTTTTTAAATATTTTTGGATTACATTGATGACTGTGGGAGTGGGGCTGTGGGGAATGGGCGGGTTTGATGAAGGGAGATGGAGACAATTTTGGGTTGGAACCCCCCAGAGACCTACTCCTCAATGAGAAAGGAAAGAAATTAAGAAAGAGACCAACAAATGACAAGGAAAAGGGCAAGTATAAACAAGAAGAAGAAGATCTGCAGAAGGGACATGGAAGAGACTTAAGGGCCTCGGACATAAGACTTCCATGTTGATGGACTAGATGGAATGGACAGTAAGGACTGACACGACCCGAGACCAGGAAGAAGAGACGTTGGATGAAGATTGGAAGAAAATTTATAAAGAAATTTTTTTTATTTGGGGAATTAGCCTAAAATCAATGAATATTAAGGAAAATGTTGGAATGAAACTATATGACTCTAGCAGAAATGATATTAGGGGTTATGTATATTTGAGTATTAAGATTCAAGCTTTAAGGTACTTTATGGTAAGATAAGGTTAAATAAATTAAGGTAATTTGAATAACAGAATATGGGGAAAGATGGAAAGGATTTGTTGAGTTAATTATTAGGTTAAATTGTTAAGATAAATTATTTAACAAAAATTGAGAAAGATGGAAAGAATTTGCTGAAATAACTAATTAAACTAGAATGCAGAAAGGGAGGTGTGAGGAGGTCAATGAAACAAGCAAATGGAAGTTAAAGATATGAAATTTGGGATTTGTGTCTTTTTTTCTTCTTTTTTTGTTGTATTGCTGCATTGGTTTTTATGTTTTGCGCTTTTTCTTCTTTTTTATGTATTGTAGTGTTAGTTTTTTTTCTATTTTTTCTTTTTTTCTATTACTCTGAAACTATGAATAAATATTATTTTTTTAAAAAAAATGTAATGGGCTTTATCTACCAATCTGATTTTGCTGAGCCATGGCAAGAATTGGAGGTGCAATAACATACTTGCCAGCAACGGAGGAGTGGCAGCCTCAATTACCTGCCTGCGAAAGTAGCTGCATGACAATGAAAAGAACAGCAAAAGATTGTCCAACGCACCTGGACTAGGCTTCATCCACCAGAGAACTGAGTTTCATTACATTCTGAACTGGCTTTGATATTATTCTCATCCAGGAATCTTGGCACATTGGGGAGCTGTCCTTAAATGGCTCTCATACCTTCTCCCATGGGTTAGTAAAAGGGGCAGATTTGGACGAGCAAGAATAGGGCTCCGAATTCTCATTTATTTGACTTTATGAGTTCTTTTCTCCTCAGGTTTCATCTGAATCATTAATCAGATTTTAAACCTGCTTTCTTTCTGTTTCTTTCTGTTCTGCACAGTTTTACAATGGGAGACCAAACATATCACCAGGAAAGTCAGGGATTCCCTTACCATGTGAACATGGCCATATAGCCAGTGGCTGGGAAGTCACAGTCCAATAGAAAAACTGAGAGAAACTCCCCGGCAGCCATGACCACAAGGGATTGATTAGATTCTCCATCACCAGCTGACTGCTGTTTTGTTCTGCTCACTGTTTAGAATAAGTCCTGAAGACTTTCTGGTTCGGCTGGCACTGCTGGCTCAAAATGCCAGAACAAGTTTGTGGCAGCTGGAGCTGTAGGAATCTGGGAATTGCTTGGACCTCAGCCCACAAATTCTATTTTGTTTCTCTCTGTGGGCCCGGAATCATCCCTCATTCCCCACTTTACATCTTAATTAGGATCACTGTTATTGGGAAATGTAGTTTTAATTGTCTTCGTATAAGATGCTTAAGATATTTTATCAGGGGAAGTACCTAGCATGCCTAGAATTAACTGATACTCAGAGACGAAGCCACAAGGATGAATGGTACAAAGGAGTGCATTGGGAGCAGATATTAAACCTCTCATAGGGAAGAAAATAGTCTCTGGATTTTTTACAAACAGTTAACACATTTCCACAAGATGTAGAAGAAGTCAATACGATTTTTTTATTTATTTGCAACATCTAGAGTTATTTATTCATTCTTCTCTTATGACAGATATTTATATCCCACAGTACAGGAAATAAATCATTCCAAAATGACTTACAGGTAAATTACATATTTTAAAATACACGAAATAATCATGAAATATTAAAAGGTCTTCAGGACTCCTCCCCCAGAACAGCTGATGTGAGAACATGGAGGGGGAATAAGAAAGTCTAAATGATCAGCCTTTTCCCTGTATAATCCTTGTAATACCATAGTTATGACATATATATTATTAAGCTGAATGATGTATACTTTGTTTTATGGGGGGGGGCCAAAGTATTTCTAGGTCTGTGATATAAAATGTGTAAAAAAATAAAATCCATTCATATTAAGCCCTGGTATCAGAGTTTATATTGTAAATAACCCAAGCTCTCCTTTCCAAGCCACAAAGTCAGTGAAACCAATGGATTTAAGTTAATCAAGTGCATTTATTTCCACAAGTCTATTCTGAATATGACCTAGTTGGACTGAGAGCTTAAAAGGAATTGCCAAACAATATAATTACAATCATAGCAGCCTCAAAATACTGAAAGAATCTATATTTGGAAATGGTGCTGGATCTTGAACCAGCTTCTGTATACCTAGAGAGGACAACAATTCCCTTCATAAAAGAGCAGAAGTGCACTGCATAATATTAATATTAATATTAATATTAATATTAATATTAATAGTGCCTACCAATATTTATTGGTCCCTCATGGGTGGTGAGAGATGTCATGTCTCAGTGTCTGGCCATTCTACATTCCCTGGCCAGCCACATTACAGGGCAGGATAGCCCACCCAAACTAAAGTTCTAAGAGCCTGGTCTCTCAAACCAGTGCCATGGTACCTGAGCCAGTTGCCTTGCAGGTGCAAACAAACTGCATGACAACAATAACAAACAGCACATTTCATAGAAAATATCCTTTCAGAATGTGATATGAAGCAGAGAAAGCACTGTGGTTGGATTCCTCTGATCACACAATATGAATTGGAACCAATGCTCCAGAAAGAAGATATTCTGTGCCCTACTCTTTAGGCACAACTGAATGGCAGCTGGTAACACAGAATCCAGTCAATCTCCAGTTCCTTATCGAGAAATGCAATTTTACAAAGAGCACCTTCCCACCAGGAAAGTCAGAGAATCCCTTACCATGTGGACATGGCCATATAGCCAGTGGCTGGGAGGTCCTGGGAAACTCCTAAAACCCTTGATCAGGTTCTGCCTTGTCTGAAACAGCTGGATGGCTTTCAGAGCCATTCAGGTGAAGATCAACATCACAGTCCAATAGAAAAACAGAGAAACTCCTGGGGAGCCAGGACCACAAGGGATTGAATAGATTCTCCATCGCCAGCTGACTGCTGCTTTGTTTTTGCTCACTGTCTAGAATATGTCCTAAAGACTTTCTGATTCGGCTGGAGCTGCTGGCTCAAAATGACGGAACAACTTTGTGGCAGCTGGTGCTTATAGTTATATGGGAACAGCTGGAACCTTCACTCACACATTCTAATATGTTCCCCCCATGAGCGCTAAATCCCTACCTTTTCCCCACGTCATGGCTGGATCCAGATCAATGTTATTGGAAAATACAGTAATAATAATTCTTTGCATGTAGGATGTTTACATATTTTATCAGGGACAGTATGTATGTATTTATTGGCAGGAATTGAGAGTCCAGAAGCAAGCATTACTACTCTGGTAACAGCAGCCATCAGTGGAGAGCCTTCAGCTTCAGATATATCCCATTTATGGATCGGGTGACAACTTGCAGCATGGGAATCGGGAGGTTGGCAGGATCAGGCAAAAGCTCAAAGTGCAGGAGGGTCAATGCAAGAGCAACCTTCATCTCATTCATGGCAAACTGTTGTCCAATGCAGTTCCTGAGTAAAATGAAGGGCAACATTACATTACAAACAGAAGAGCATTCTGCACATGGTCCAATCGGGGCCATTTCGGTTGTTGCTCCTTCACTTTTAGGTTTCCCTTCCCCGAAATGAATGTCTGGCACCATCTTTGTTTTCCTTTGTATGCCCCACCCTTTTAGGCATTTGAGTATATATTGTTTTATGCTGGCAGTTAATTGTGCTTTGCTGTGGACTCATTCACAGTTTTATAAGCCTTGAACACAGTTGTGTCTTTCATTGAAGCTTAATGTAAAAGTCTCCTTTTATGGAGGGAACAGTGCAAAGTATAGGTGAGAAAATATTTACCTTGGCCCTGCAGCAAAAGGCAAGAAAGCATATGGGTGGCGATGCTTTGAATTCTCTGCGGAGAATCTTAGAGGATTAAACTCCTACAACAGAAAATAAGTCGTGGAACTTTGTATTAGAATGGCAACAGATATAGTGGCAAAAGAGCTAAAGGATAAAGGGGCATTCACAAAAAAGAATACTGTTCTATACCCACTTACCAGGTCATAATGCCCATTGCGCTCCATGGGGCTTAGTTCTGTATAGGATTATAGGATTGCATGCTTAGCAATATGTTTTCCCCAGTGTAATCTGAAGGAAAATTCCTTCATATCTATAAATGCCTGGGCCAAATGAGACATGATGTTAATTGCACCAGTGTGCATGTTTTTAAAACTGTACAGAGTCATTGGGGTGTCTGACCAGCAACAGGCCTGCAGGGTTTGGGAGGGAAATGCTAACCTTTCCCCCCTGCTGTGGTGCTGATGTTGCTCCTGAAGTTGCTCTTTGAATGGAGAGGGAAGCCTACACAGATTTTGTAAGCAGCACTTTAGGGACTGGTGGGTGGGTGGATTTTTGGCAGAATACTTCCATAGCTCCTGACGTGGATTAGGAATGTTTTCTGGATTAGGATTCTACAGCAGCTTTGCCCATATATTTTGCAATGGTTTTCTTTTCGCAATAGATTTTTGCCATTTTGTAAGTGCTTAAGCAACATTTTAAGAATCATAACTACATAACATGTGGCCTGTCCTTCTGCTTAATTAGTACAGTATCTTCCTCATACTGTTCTTATCCAATTCTGTAGAGGGACACACTAAGCTTGACATCAGAGTGTTAGAAGATATATCCAAACATTTTTCTTTTTGCTAAGAGCTGCTGGCAGGAAAGGGATTTGGATCAGAGTCATGGCGTAGGGAGTAATTTAGCTCTACATGCGCACACATGCACAGAAACACACACAGAGACACAAACACTTTCACCAGCATCTCTCTCTCATGCACACACTCTAGAGCTGGTAGTATCCACATAAGGAAACGCAGGCATCACTTGTGTTTATCTGTTTCTGCTCCACACCTAATATCATACTAGGGGGTAGTTTTTTTGGTATTAGGCCATTGATATGAGGCAATGGACTAAATCAGCCTTTCTCACCTCCAAACTGGAATACGTCCGGATGCGTTTAGTAAGGTAAAACAAGCAAGAAACTGGTAAAACAAAACACTGGGATAAATCCACACATCTAGTCACACAGTGTTAGTGTGACAAACGACTGGCCTCTTTTCTTAAAGAAATTGTATGTGTCTATGGCAATTATTCCACCATCTTTTTCTCAAAACATGTCAACTTCTCTCAGTCTCACCAGAAAGGTCTTGCTTAGGCTTTTCTCCTTTTATTATTACCTCAGGATTGTCCCAAATCTCAGGATTTCTGTGAAGACCATAAACATCCAATGCAGTTAGAAAGCCTGTGGGGAAAAAAGAGACACAGCATCTAGTATCATTTCATCAGCAGTGATATTATGTAATGAGAATTAATTGCTATCCAGTGACATTTACCAAAACATTCATTCTCAATAACTTGCTGCAAAGACAGGCAGATTTTCAGAGTTGTTGCACTGGTAACCAGGATGATCCTGCACAGAGTACAGGAAGGCAGCTGGAAAGCATACGACTGTGCTTTCCTGGTCATGTAATATTTGTTTGTTTGCCCAAGGAATTCATTTAGGTGTAGGTGGGGCCTCAAGAGATAGTCCATCTAAGGCCTAGTAGCTCCAGAAATTGTCCCTCTGAACACAGGGGCTGTGTACCTCTGTGTCAGCATGCACACCTGTGTGTGTCCTCCACAAATGCCCTGTGTGCATGAATGTGAGTGTGTGCAAGCAAGAGTGTGGGGTGGCCGCATCACAGTTGGCAGGGTGAATGTGGACCACAAAAGGTTAGCCACCCTTGATGAAAGTTAAGAGACAGTGGAACTGAATAATGAGAACAGTGTAAGAATGAAGATGGAAGAGGAAGGGGCGAGTTCAAAGGAAGTCTGCAGAACAGAGAGAGGGGAAGCCTACCTTTTGGTAAGGTTCGTCCATCAGCAAAAGTCACAGGAGAATTCAGTTCTCGTGCTATAAGAGGTACTGGAGGATAAAGCCGAAGGCTCTCCTTAATGCACATGGTGCTGTACGTCATCTTTCCCAAGTCGTCCCTTAAAGAGACCGCCCAAAATTACTGGAGTTAAGTCACATAAACTTTTGTTAAGATGAAGCAAAAAAGGAGTCGGAGTGGAATCCACTATCTAAGCTGTCCTTACTCGAAACAAGGGATGGGGAGAGGGGAGAAATTTGATTCAGTTCCTATTTAAAGGTGAACTTACCTTACTCACACTTTCTGGAACAAGATGTGAACTGAACACAGCCACCCTTCATAATTTGCACTTCTCCAGCCAAATAACAAGTGCAAAAATGCACATGCTAGCTTAAAGCATGCATGGAGATGCATATATTAGTGAACATCTGTGCTTTTAGGGCTGTTATGCACTTCTTCTTTTTTTAAAAAAACATTTATATTGACTGTGGGGTTTTAAGTGTATTCATTTTAATTTATTCTGTTAGCCACCTTGTTTCTTATAGTGTGAGAAAGGCAGTAAATAAGTTAAATGATTGATTGAATGAAATACAGCATACAAAACTGGTGTGGGTTTTTTATTGTTATGGGAAATAAAACCATGCAGGAAGTCTACCTGGAAAGCAAATCATGCAGGAATCCCACCTGAACAGAGGAGGCTCCCCTCTTTAGAAGTTATCAGGACATTAGAGATCAGGCGTATTGGTGGGCTCAGTCCACAGCCCATCTCTTGTAACTGTGTTACCTCTTCATGCAAGTAATGGGTGAGGGAGGCTAATTGTGTCCTACTTTTTGAAGAGCTGTCTCTTTTTGATAATAGATTTAGATTTTTGCATTATTTTTGGCGATTCAAGCATGACCACACTAGCTACAGTACATCCGTGCAGCAGCCAAAGCAGTGATTTAAATATAGAAATAGAAATCAGAGCTTCTTTTCCTACAGTATAGGACTGGCCCATCTTCCCTGGAACTTACTCAACCTGAGGCCTGTGGTCAGACTACTATGATCCTAAACTACTCTGCAGTATTGCTCTCCTTCAGAAACCTCATAATATGACCCAGGAAATAAACATTTAAAGTTGAACAAGAATTTAGTCTGACCATTGTATCTCCTCCTGTTGCCCAAGAAGCTCCATGATCTCCTCTCTGCATCTCTGCTGATGTTCAGGGTTCTGGGCCATACAATGAAAGAGCCAAGAGATTCCACTAGCTGTGGTATCATGACCTTCGAACATGAATGTGTCCACTTCTGCACGTATGTCTTCATCTGACAATGGATTTCCATTTTCATCCTAACCACACAGGGAAAATAGTGTTTTATAGGATTAGTGAGATCCAATACTTAAAGTTCTCCTAGACCCTCCGCCCTCTCCCAGCTCACATCAAAGAAGGGGGAGGTGCTTCCAAAAGCGGTTTGCCAAGCTGCTCTCTGAAGCACCACCCCTCAATTAAACAGCTCACCTGGGCCACCTGCCACCCATGGTGCTTGCTCACTCACATGCCTACCCGCCATTCTGCATTCATGCTGGAGTTGACAGGGCCACCTGTCAGCAGCCACACAAACTCCAGTGTGATGATAGCCTTACAATTTTAGGTATATATTGCAGACCATGGGAGTTTTGCTTGGGCTATGTCATATGAACAGAATAGTGATGGCTGGAAAAGCCCTTAGCAATATAGCATGGCAGGCATAGGTCCATTATTTTTACAATGTCCACCTTTGCGCAAAGAAGAATATCCAGGAAGTCCAAATGCCTCTTCTTCAGAATCTTTTCAAGCTCTTTCTCATTCTTGAGGGAATCCTTCCTCTCTCTTATTACCTTCTCTGCATTGAAAACATACAGTATGAAATGAATAAAGCTATGTGTAAGAGGCAAGCAAATATATTCAACCTTTTTAGATTTCTCATTTCTCTAACTTTCCGAATAAGTCCACGTGTTACTAATCATTCAACCCATATTAAATTGTTTTTTAATTTCTTCTTCTTTTCACATCTACATTTTATATGCCCTTAGTACATCATACCGACACTATTACAATTTTTAATTTTTCTAATGGTACTGAAACAGTATGTTTTTGCTTTTGAATTTTTTATTATGAAATAAATTTATACATTAGCTCAGAAGAAGAGGAGGGGGACGAGTAGGAAGAAGAAGTTGTTGC